TACCTCATCACGTTTTAGAAGCGAACTGTTTAATTTCCAGTAAGCATTCCTACATCTTGTGGAAGGGGCAGATTGTAATGGGATAAAGATGGAGACAGCATTATGATCTGTTAATGGGGTTGTGATGATATTAACTGAAATTTTAGCAATATTCAAATGATCAGAAACTAACCAGTAGTCCAATCGTGAACGTCTGGTGGCACTTCTATTACTCCAAGTAAAAGCATTTATGTTAGGATTGTTAACTCTCCATACATCAACCAAATTAAATTTTTTCATAAATAATGTTAAATTAACATTTACTGCAGTGGAAACACGTGGAGGCCAACAGTCAATATTGTGATCCAGAATCATATTAAAATCCCCCCCTATTACTATACCTGAATTTGGAAAGTTATTAAGGGAATTTTGTATATGCTTCTCGAGAGTTTCAAGCAATATGTCGTTCTCATGGTTAGAATTATAACCATATATGTTAATAACTATCAAAGTAAAGTTTTCAATGGTTAATACTTGAAAAATAAAATGACCTGAAGTATCACTGACAGAAAACAAAATAGACCCTGGAAAATTATATTTTAGAGTCGCAACACCAGCAGAATGTTCAGACCCGTGAGCCTGCCACAGATCATTCCCCCATTGGGATCTCCATAATCTACTATCTTCCGGAACTGAGTGTGACTCTTGAATGTAACAGAAATCAGATTTGTGCTGCTTGACAAACAAAAACAACGCCTTGCGCTTAACAATATTCCTTATCCCCCTGGCATTAAGAGTAATGATAGATAAAGACGTATTAACAACAACAGATAGAACAATGCAAAAAGTAAAGTTTGGATGAAATTAGACTTTAACCATACTGCAAGGAGCTGCACCAATTAACTTAAATAGAAGGTGCATAGCGAAACTTAGTGATACAGTGAAAGCTAAGGAAATACCTAGGTTTTCAGTCGACAACTTAAGTTATTAGCAATTAGACATAAAATGTTAGCCTACAGAACATTGCAAATAATTGAACAGGAAGTAATAGAAGTTGTCTTGAAGGTATTTTAAGTTGAGTGTCATTAAAGTGCTCAATAATCCTTATAAAGTGCTCAATTTTTTCCTAATAAATTGAAAAATATATTGTTTCTCAAAACAGATAGAAAAACATATAGTGAATGACAAGTATTTAGGATATTATGGCTTAACTCGACTTAAGGCACATGTTAACAGGTGTGACGTTTACCACTTTCAGGTAACTGGAAACAGTTCAGCCCCGTTGGCAAAGGCACGACCTCCCACGAAGTAAGCAGCCTTCCCTTGTTCTCGCGCTTTAGCCACCAGAGGCCACAACTGCATCCTTCGCTCTCTGACTGCTGGGGATAGGTCTTCGGCAAAACGTAGCTTGTTGTTTTGCAGGAAGGTGGACTTCTTTGCAGCCTTCCATACAGCGTCGCGGTAGATACGAGCACTGAACTGTAGAATTATCCCTCGAGGCTTGGTGGCACCTTTCTTTAGTTGTCCAAGACGGTGCACTGAGTCAATAACTTCAGGGAGTTTGGCCTTGTGCTCCGGCAGGATAGACTGACAGATGTGTATAACCTCTTGGCGGACGTTTTGATCTGCGTTTTCAGCCATACCGTAGAGTCGCAGGTTCCACCGTCGCGAATAGTTTTCCAGCTCAGTGATTCGTTGTTCCAGTATGTTCGTCTTTTTCTCCGCCACGTTGACTCGGTCATCAATGTGTGTCACTTTACCTTTCACTTCACGAATCTCAGCGCAGGCAAAATCAACAGTCTTCTTTAGCCCCTCAATCTTTAGAGTATTGTTGGAAATCATTCTCTCCACACTCTTTTCCAGAGAGTCGATTCTCGTGTTGAAGATGACTGAGATTCTCTGCACAATATCCTCACTGTCTAGATCCACGGAGCGCTGCGGCTTCATTTTTTTTGGTGCAGGAGGTTTGGAGGGAGTTGAGGAAGGAGTTATGGGGAGAGGGGGGAAATCTGGGTCCCCGAGGGAGATCACCGGAGCATCCGCCATGCAGTAGTCGTGTAGGTTGTTCACAAGCGGATTGTCCATCGGTACCTGCATGCTGCTGTAGTAGTGGTTTGCTAGCTAGGTAAGCCGTTAGCCGAGGTTTTTCCTCACGTGTGTCGTTAAGAGGCGAGAATATTACACGATACAAGCTTAACAATAAATAGACACGGTGCACTCAACTCAGTATTAATGTATCTCCAAGAACATATTTAAAGTAACTATTATTCACTATGATGCATGTCTGAGGGTGAACAGCTCCGTCGCGTACGTGCACTCACTCCGCCATCTTGCCCGGAACTCCTCACGCCTCGCCGTTGTCCAATTCTTATTTGTGCATCCTCGTTTCCTTTCCTCGCTTCCTTTCCTCGCGTCTCAGCTCCACCCCCTGCAGGATGCGAGGGAAGGCTGCAAGGAAAGAAAATGAGGACAGAGGAATCGAATGAAAGTTTTTTTTTATACTTTGGAATACTTGATCACTCGAGCGTCACTTCACTGCGTCATCAGCAGTGCTCAAAGGATCTGCCCTTATGTTGTTGAAGTTTGGTTATTTAAGAAATTAGTAATAAATAATAATAAAGCAAGAGACCCTGTTGAAATATGTGAGATGTGTGGTTTATTTAAACTGCAATGGTAAAGTATAAATTAAAATGATTGTGACCAACGTGAAGGGGGAGGAGCATTTATACGTGCGTCACGTTTAGTCGGTAAAACACTTCCGCAAAGCATACAACTGTGCATCCTCGGGGTGCTTCTCAATATCCCTCCTCGTCTCCTCGCTCCTCCGTCCTCCATCCTATGACCCGGAAACCAATCGAGCTCAGCCATCTTGAAGGACATCTCAATTCTCTAACTGCACCGCGAGGAGGCGAGGATCGAGGAGTGAGGAGGCTTCCAGAGGAGCTATGAGCGAGGATACACAGGTGTATCTCTTGACTCGATCATCCACTCCGTCGCTCCCCCTTTATGCTTCCGCTCCTCCGTGAGAGATGCGAGACCGGTGTGCTTCACAGGTGCTGCTCATTAGCAATCGCACCACCGGCCTCGCGACGTTCTCTCACGTCCCTCGGCCATCCTGCTCACCACACACTGGCTTAGCTATGACAGTGTAACTTTGGTGTCGACTGTTATAACGTTACTGTTAGTGAGCCAGGGTTGAGACGATAAATAACCAATAGGCCTATCTGCAGTTGAAAGCTGTTTTGTTTAATTTCGCCAAATCTAACTTTAGGTTAAAAAGTTTAGGGGATCTATTTTTATACCTAGCTTTACCCTCTGCCAAAACTTTGTTCCTATGTTCACCGTGAACTCTACCTGCTCCGTTTTTTCACGTTTGGTTTGTTGTTATATGCTCTACATATGTTTACCTATGTCTTTATGTTGTATCTGTATGTGTTATACGTAAGCAATAAGGTACGAGAGGCTGTGCTGTATCGTGAATAAGTAACGGCTGGAGGGCGTTGTTAGGCACGACGCGAAGCGGAGTGCCTGCAACCCCTTCAGCCGTTACTTATTCACGATACAGCACTTGCCTCGAGTACCTTATTGCTTTTATAAAACGGTTGCCACACAATAAAAATATTAAAGCCGAAAAATATGTATCTATGCAACTTTCATGAAGTAAAATCACTAAAAGCCTGCCTTCCGCTGGAAAAAATAGTCCCGGAACGTGAACAGCAACAGAAGTTACATATATTATTTCGCCAATAGATGGCGGCAAAGACTGTCTTTATGAGTGAGTGAGTGAGTGAGTCTGTAGAGAAGGCTTTTGAAAGGACTCGAACTTGTGATCACGGAGAAGACAGACGCAACTGACAGATGACTAACGTTATGCACGGAAAACCCCATGACTGTTAAAAGGACAAAATATGCAGCGGACATTCAAACGCATTTTTTTATTATGAATATAGGACTGACCTGAAGGAAAATGCTACGTCTACTGTAAATGCAGGTACACTCGCTTACTCGATCTCTCACAATGCTCTGCTCTAGCTTTAAATGAACAATATCAATGAGATGAAACATCTGTTTAAGTTGCTAAGAGTGGTTGCTAGGGGTGTTGTGTAGTGATACATAGAACCGTTGGGTGAAGCGGTCATAGCCGTGTTTTATCGTGAATAAAGCACAGCTATTGACCAATCAGAATCAAGGATTGGAACTAACCGTTTTATAAAATATATGTTGTGTGTGTTATATTGTAATAAACCTCATGAACAGCCCTACGGTGATCAAAACCTCTCAACAGCCAGTCAGTTGAATCAGAAAGGGGTACACTTTATTTCAAATAGATAAAACTCTTGATCACAGATACCAGTAGAGAGACGAATGAGAGAACAGACACACAAAAAGACCCGCAAGGCACAAGTCATCTACACACAGTAAGTCACACAGTGCTTTAAACTCAACGGGACACCCCAATCCATAGGCACATACGGTTTATTGCTGTAAAATTTTATATGGTTAAAAGTTGTAAAACCTAAAACGTTGCTACCGTATTTTTAACAGGAAAACTCTGGTAACCACAGCTGCCAGGGTTTTCCTGTAAATGTAACGTTTTTTTTTAACAGTGCAGTAGTCATTGACTGCCATAGTATGGAAAAAATGGCTACCGTCAACTGTTTGTTTATCAACATACATTCTTCACAATATCTTCTTTTGTGTTCAACAGATGAAAGAAACTGGGCAATCCCTTTTCTTATTGGTCGTTATTAAGGTAGTAATTGTTTGACTCTGCTTTGGCAGCAATAACCTCCACCAAACTTCACCAAAAAACTTTGCACTATTTAAAAGTGTTTCAGTTCAGCATTATTCTGATGTCGAAGCCATTTTGTTGCATGTACCTCAGAATCTGTGTTTGTTGTTGTGACTTTGCTCATATTTCCACCGATTTATAAGACAAATTATATCGCAGTATTAACAAATTATATCTAACTATGGAAAATCATGACCAGTACAAAGTTTTGCTGAAATGCAAGGCCAGCTTTAATAAAACAGCAAGAAACAAATCAAAAGTTCATAAATTACTGCGTAAATAAATAATGCTTAAATACAATAAATAACGTAATAATAAATAATCATTCCTTTTAGAAACAGTAAACTAAAATGACTCGGCCGGCGACAACTGCTAGCTTGCTATTTTGCCAAAATGTAGTTGAAAACTCGATTTATTGTTATTGTCCGAAGGTTGAAACCCTTTAGGACTTTGCACAGCTTAAGTCGCTCTTGAAAAGAGTTTTGATGATCCATGGGCACCTGAAGAAAAACAAAACATAATCATACCTCCTTACACATCAAAGAGGTAAAAAAAAAAGTATTAAAAGCAACATAAACATATAACTGGTTTTACCTCTGCCGGAGAGTTGTCCATTACAGAGACAGAGAAACAGTTCTATTACGATGAAAAAAGGAAAGAATAATCACTGACTGAAAAAGAGCCTTGCAGTTATAGTAACTTAACAGTAGTTTAGTAAAGGTGTTTGTACCTGCATGAGGTCATCAATGCTTCTGACGACGGTTTTGGTGAGCTCTGGGTTCGAGTAGGCTTGAAATGTTTCCCGATAGTAGTGGAGATCTTCTAGAATTCTCTTCAGGCATTCATTCTACGAAGATACATGTCAGTGTAACAGACAAAAGACGCAGCCAATAAACAGAAGAATTGGAAGAATGGATTTTAAATTTACCTCATCAATATTACGGACAGTGCTGTGAGCGCAGTCGGCGTTCTGTTGAGTGAAAAACAAATAATAATCGTCAAATTATGATTTTGATTATGCCGAAATTCAGCAATCAAGAATGAACTGTGATGAAGAAAGGAGGGTGATCAGTAAGGATTTTTGAATACATTGGTATTTACATTTAGCAGCAACCCTAATAAAGAAAACCTAAAATATAAGCTTTTGAACGCAATTTGAGCGTCAGAGAAAACATTAATGTGACAGTTCATCAAGTTGCAGGTTACAAAACACACGCACAGCATTGAGTGACTCTGATCACGGCCGGGTGTTCTCTGGTATTACACACAATGTTAAACAGTAATAGATTGGGACCCAAACTGGTCCTCCGCATAGACCTCTAGTGCCAAATAACATCCAGCTCCACCTCTCCCGGATGTCTAATAGGTGGAGGGATGGAGTTATGGCTAGGATTCGGGTGTGGTTGGATATCCTAGCACCACCCACTACGCCCAAATTACATTCAGAGAGGGGCAGCTGGACTTCACTCCACCATGGCTCTGCAGTGACCAGACTCTCGAGTTTGGTGGCGAATGAATCCCCAAGGAGGAGTAGTATATCAAATTCCAGGGGCATGCGTTTTTCAAACAGCCCATAATAGCCGACTTCCTGTTGGGCTGGCGTATGCCGTAAAAGCCCTTTTTAGGTGCAAAAGCCCTAAAAAACATACACAGATCAGGGAAAAAAAAAAAAAAACATACAAAAAGGGTGTGCCTCAGACCGTCCAACTTGTGCCTGGACCTAATGACCGCGATTACAAAGCGTGTGCACATTTTCAAGAGTTTTTGAGCATGTTAAGGGCCCCAAAAGTACCCGCAACTTTGAAAGGAAATAATAATAATACTTTGTAAAACAATAGGGCCTCCGCCCGTTTGGCTTGGGCCCTAATAACAATCATTAATAAAAATCATTTCGAAAGTGTGCTCCTCTATGAGAGCATCATGACATCACTCTTACCTGCGGGGTGCAGGTAGCCACCGTTTGCGTCCTGAGGTGCACCTTTGCGTTTTGCTGTGTGCAGTCGAACCCGCTGAACAAGTGGTCCTGTAAGCGGATAATAAATATTATTAGACTACTTGTGTGTGTGTGAGAGAGAGAGAGGCTATACCCCCATACCCTCAAATAGGGCACTATTTGAGGGGACATCCATTTGTGGTGTCCGAATTTCGGACTCCGAAACCATAGTGGACGTTATTGAGTGCACTTATTCAATCTCACATTGCACTGCAATAACATGGTGTACAACCAATGTACGCTCAACGCTGTCCGAATTCACTCACTCGTTTTTATTCACTCCTTCAAGTTAATGGACTAGGGAATAGTGAATGAGGGTTTAGGGAACCATTTCGGATAATTCAGCCAGAGTGTGTGTTTATTAGCTATATGTGCTGGTTTATTGAATAACAGTCACTCACCATCGCGAGCACCGTGGACACGTTCCAGAGCAGGGAGCGCGCGAGCGCGTTGCACGTCGTTCCTGTGAGGCTCAAAGGCGATTCACGCGCTCCGACCGGACCGGCGACGCCACAGCGACACAGCGCGAGGCACAGGAGGATGCGTACAGACAAATCTTTAACAAAACAACAACATCACATTTCACAAAACGTGAAGGATAAATTGGATAGCTACACTAGAGCCGGGATCGTTTGTACATTAAAAACAGTAATACTTACAAGTACAGACCCTGGGCAGCATTGTTGCGTTCAGCTGTTGCACATTCTAGTGCTTAGGATCAGGATTTGTCCTTTTATAAATCTTTTGGAGGTATGGGAGTTCCCTTTTCGAAACATTAACTCAAATGAAAACAACCCGCTGCCCATGTGTTTTGTAATTTCCGTGGTATTACAGATGTTGAGTTCTGGAGTTTAGGACACGCTGCTTGCATACATTGGGAATTAACGCACGTTTCGATTTAGGCAGGCATAGGCTACTTCACAAACAGTGTGAGTACAGGATAACAATCTTGAGCCTTCTTATTCAGTAAAGCCCCTACTGTCACTTTAACAGCATTTTAAATTTAGCTGCATTCTCGTTTACAGTCATAAACATTTAGCAGAAACACGCAAAGAAAGGTTAAACACTGCATTTAAGAGATGTCCAGGTGTAACGTCCTAAAGGAATTGTATCGAATTGTTATAGTAAAATATAAATATAAAAAAAAATTCCCAGGTTAACATCAGTCTGACAACATTTGTGGTATGCTTTTGGTAATGTTGATAACGAAACGAATTTCTGAACTTATTTTTTTTCTTAACAAAAAGGAAAAGAAAAAAGGTTGTAGGGACATATCCAAGTATGGGAGAAGATCAATGTGGATTTACTTTTACATTGTAACAGTTAGATATAAGTTAAGCATGTGCAGGACGATGATGATGCATCAGCCAATGTGTTATTATAGGAAATTTACATTTTCTAATTTAGTTGTTTTATAGATCTCACATATTAAAATATTAAACTCTCATACTTTTACATAATGTTCTGATGTTCATGATGTACTTCTGACATCAGAACATTATGTAAAAGTAATAAATAATGTTCATAATGTACTTCTGATGTAATTCTTAATATTTCCATACATTTTGAAAGTGTAATTTAAATTAAAATACTAAATAAAGAATTGTATTTAACATTTTATTTTGACAATTTAGTTGATAAGAATTGAATAACCGATGACAGACAAAGATTCATCTGAAAGGGGGGAAAAAATCTATGCATTTTATGCATTTACATTTAATTGCCCATATTTTAATTGAAGATATGTCATAATAGCAACACTATGAATGCTAAATGAATGATTTCACTCAATTAACATATAGGTTTTATTTAAATCAAAGATGTCTGAAATGTACATCTAATTCATGGAAATACTGAATAATAACCCCATTAATTACAAAAATGATTATTATTGTAATTATTTAAAAGAATTACAAATAGACACAAAAATAATATATTCAACATAATACAATGTCATAGATCACTATTATTAGCAATTAGCAAGTCACCATGTAATCAAAATTGACAATTCTTATTTTTATGAATGGAATGTTGCAGTATTTATTATAAATCATTTTTTATTCGTGCACATCATTCTTTTTAAAAAAAATTTTTTTTATTCATGTGCCCTCATAATCTTTAATTAAAATAACTTCCCCTCCCTCTTGGCTCATCCATTTCTCTTCTTTGATGATGTGTTTACTGGCATGAGGGCGGGGCAATCTGTCAATCACATGAGATCAACCAATAGCAAACCACAATCATCCAATAAATTCCCCATGGACAGAATCAAGTCCCAAACTACATTTGCTCTTGTTCGAGAAGCTGCTTCACGCGGCTATTCATCACAATGCCGCTTATGAGCACTACTCATTTATAGCACAAGGATTTAAAAATATATATTATCTGGACCAAAATTTCAACGATTCATTAAAGATAATGCATGTTAACAAGCTTTCACTGTGATAAAATTATAGCTTTTCTGTGTAAAAATCCTAAAGCGACAGAAAAAAAATATCATTTATGTAGGTCTCAAAAAACACATTTTACAGAAAAAAATGATCATTTATGTAGGTCTCAAAAAACACGTTTTACAGAAAAAAATTAATGTAAGTGATTTTATGAAATTATAAGCATTAAAAAAATGTATTTCCATGTAGGTGCGTCACTATAACCTTGATATTTTCTGTTTCTTCTTCTGACAGGTCATAATTTAACTTGCATTAAACTGGAATGTTCCTCTTTTTTTCCCTTTAATGTCACATTTCAAGTAAAACTGTCACATTTCCTCTCTTTGGCACCAGTGATTTATAGGCTTTCCTATACCGTCATTTGGAGGGTTTTTCAAAAATGTACATAAAATCAAGAAAAGCGTTAACAGAGGCTGATATCTGAAAAAAACTTTCATGACTTTTTTACCCTTTTTTTTTTTTTTTTTGCAGGTGACAAGTTGCAGTTCCTGGAAATGCCTCATTACTGAGTTTACATTCAAAAAAACGGTAAGGGACAGGCCCTTACAGTCATATTTTTAATATATTTTATGAATATACTACATTCCATGTATTTCATACACATTCCCTTATTGCTGTTGTAAGCCACAGTGTTGAACAAGAGTGGAAAACCCACTAAAAACAACTTAACTGCCTTTATTTTCCTTATTATTTGTGTTCATTTGGTGGAGCAGACACGTCATAACTGATGTAATATTGTGGTACCGTGCTCTTGCCAGGGAGAGAGTGGGAGTGCAGTCTTGATCTGCGTAATCTGGCCACAAAAAGGAAGTAGAACTACTCGACTCTCGGGTCAGTGCTGTATGCTAATACTTTCTGACAAAGTGCTATTTTGTCAGATTCACTATTGTGTTAAAATTCTGCGGAGATCTGAAGTGAACTCGAAGTAAGAGAGATCTGTTTTTTTACATAGTTATTTTCATTTATTGCATTTTTTTTTCTTCATTTTTTTCATTTTGCAGTTTCGTTTTTGGGACTGACCTAATACAAACCACAATGACACTTGTTTGGTGTTGAGTGTTTCGTGCCTTGTGACAGTTTAGAAGATGAAAACAATGTCATACTGGCCCATATTAGCTAAGTCATTTATTTGACCGTGATTTCCTTTTACAGTTCTGTGTATGAATACAGAATGGTGTGTCACTTACATCTGTGAAACAGGAAACACATTTAGAAGAAAAAGTAAGTAAAATAGGCATTCTTAAAAGACTCACATTATAGTTCATTGTGAACACAATACATTTCCACCACACCAGGCAGCTTCAAACAAATATAATGCTAACATAACATTATTCTAAAATTCACGTTTGGTTATGACTTCTTTGTTTTAGGTAGGAGAGCTCCATCCACAGCACATTAGCCAGTGCAAACACTGCGTCAGTGTAAAACTAGAGTAAAGTAGAAGCAGTTTACTATAGTTTGATATGGAAGCTTGTTTCTGCCACAGAATAAAAAAAAATCAAAAAAGTAATTGCCACATTTTATCTCACAATTTAGACTTTTTTTCTCCCGCAAGTTTGCATCTCACAGTTTGGAGTTTATAACTCACAATTACAAGTTTACTGTATATCTCACAATTCTGAGAAAAACCCCCAGAACTACAAGGTATAAACTTTTTTTCTCGCAGTTTATATCTCAGAAGTCGTACTTTGTTTCCGCACAATTGCGAGTTTATATATCACAATTCTATGTCCTACTTTATTCCTCGCAATTGTGAGTTTGTCTCACAAATCTGACTTAAATTTTCACAACTGCAAGTTTATAACTCGCAATTGTGAGAAAAATTTTCCCCCATGGCGGAAAATAGCTTCCATAGTTCAAGGGATAGTTCACCTAAAACGAATAAGCCTTTTTTTTATTCTATGGAAAATAAAAAGATATTTTGAAAATGGCTTCATGTTTTGTCTAATGTTGTTTTGGACCCAATTGACTTTCAATGTACGGACAAAAACCATTCTTGGAAATATCTCTAAGCAGGTTTGAAACGACATGACGGTGCGTAAATGATGACAGAATCATTTAATTGTTGGGTGAACTAGCTCATAGTTGTTTCCCATTAAGGTCCATATGGAGTGACCTAGAATTCAGTACATGATGAAACCAGCAGACATTCTACACAGGAACAGATCCATCCCGTCAGTGATTGATTCATGTTGAATGATTCTTTTACATTATGAAGGATCAACAGGACGTCCTCAAAAGTGAGTGTGTAACCCTCAGCTAAGGTGCGGGCATGCATGAACACTTACAGCATGTATAATTGACATACATCCACACAAAGCTTGTAACATAGGCAGAAACACACACATCTAGTTGAAAAAGGGTTCTATAGCGAGTACACTGCTTCATAATATAGTGAAACACAAGTGGTTGGACCCTGTGCTGTTTGCCTCAAAATGGAGAATCACAGCGACCGTGGCAAACTGCTTTGCTTTTGGCCAGAGACTTCTCCGTCATGTGCCTTTGCTGGCTGTGCGCATGCCTGTTCAAAAACAAGAAAGAAAAGATCTTTTTTGCACACATCATTTCATCAAAAACTCATTGTAGGCTCTAATTTAGTTAGATATGAATTCATGTAGTGTTAAACAGCTGTAAATGTAAAAGGTCTGCAAAGTTTTAAAGATCAAAGTTTGAAATGGAATTATTGTCTCATAAAAAAAAAGAAATGATTCTAAACTGCCTGAAATGAGTTGTCAGTAATTCTAGTCTTGCCCCCTATTCGAACCCACGTATGTTTGTAACAAATTTGCATAATGCCAGCCTGTGGTCTTCTTTGGTTGCTCGTGAACAATGTCTACTTTGATTGACCTCAAACAATGTAGTTGTAACTGAGGCCTGAAATTTTGGTTCATGTTGTCGACATCATGTCGAGAAGAGACTGTTTTCTGTGCGGCGAAAGCAAATCCATTGCATGAACTTCCAAAGGATGAGGATTCAAGGTAGAATTGATACGGTAAAACCGACACCAATGTTACTGTTATTATCACTGTGTATCAAGTCCTGAGCAAGATCTGGAGCTGAAATTCAGATATGGTAATGAACGTTTGGTTTCCGACACATGCTGTAAGCTGTAGACCAATCACAACAGACTGGGCCATCTGACCAATCAAAGCAAGAGTGAACCAATAAAAAAAAAAAAAAAAAAAAAAAAAAAAAAAAAAAAGACTGGGTCATCTGACCAATCAGAGCAAAGTAGACCAATCACAACAGACTGGGCCATCTGACCAATCAGAGCAGAGTAGACCAATCACAACAGACTGGGCCATCTGACCAATTAGAGCAGAGTAGACAAAATACAACAGACTGGTCCATCTGACCAATCAGAGCAGAGTAGACCAATCACAACAGACTGGGCCATCTGACCAATCAAAGCAAGAGTGAACCAATAAAAAAAACTAAAAAAAAAAAACTAAAAAAAAGACTGGGTCATCTGACCAATCAGAGCAGAGTAGACCAATCACAACAGACTGGGCCATCTGACCAATCAGAACAGAGTAGACCAATCACAACAGACTGGGCCATCTGGCCAATCAGAGCAGAGTAGACAAAATACAACAGACTGGTCCATCTGACCAATCAAAGCAGAGTAGACCAATCACAACAGACTGAGCCATCTGACCAATCAGAGCAGAGTAGACAAAATACAACAGACTGGTCCATCTGACCAATCAAAGCAGAGCAGACCAATCACAACAGAATGGGCCATCTAACCAATCAAAGCAAGAGTGAACCAAAAAAAAAAAAAAAAACTGGGTCATCTGACCAATCAGAGCAGAGTAGACCAATCACAACAGACTGGGCCATCTAACCAATCAGAACAGAGTGAACCAATAAATAATAAAAAAAGACTGGGTCATCTAACCAATCAGAGCAGAGTGAACCAATAAATAATAAAAAAGACTGGGTCATCTGACCAATCAGAGCAGAGTGAACCAATAAAAAAAAAAGACTGGGTCATCTGACCAATCAGTGCAGAGTTGCCTCGCAGAAAGCAGAGCTTTAGAGAGACTGAATCCTTTATCGAGCAGTTTCAGACACTGTGAGAAATGAGGTGATGCTGCAATGTATATTAAGAGAAAATTACAGTGGGTTTTTTTTTTTTACCTTGGATGCATGTAACCCTATTGTAGGAGACCTCCACAACAAAATAAGGAACCTTTACAATAGCATAATAGGGGCACTTTAAGCTGCGTTTTGATTGGGTTACAGGCCTAACCTGGTCAGATCCTCCACATCTACCAGCATGGCATCCTGCTCCATGTGTAGTTCATCTCTCATCAGCAACAGCTGAACCAGCTCCTCATTCAGACCTGCAATGCAATTACAAGTCAAATCTCGTTATTGCCATTACCACAACAACGAAATATGTTTGTCTTACACTGGTTGTTGCATATTATAAAAGAGATATGAAGAGCATGGTAAAAACTGACAATTGTATGTGTTGTCAATTAGATGTTATTAATTAGATAACTATATATATATATATATATATATATATATAAATAATGAAACAATGAAACATTATGTAAATAATTATAACAGAATAGCTTATTTTGAATATTTCCATCTCCTGTCTTCACCTTGTATCTGAGAGTGCAGGTCATTGGTGATAACCTGTAACTGACCAAGACTCATGTCCCTCAGGTCCACAGGCCTCAGACTCCTCTTCATTAGACTCTCACTGATGTGTGGCAGATGTGGTAACTAAAGCACAAGGACAAACTTGAGTCAAGTTAAATGTATTGTGTTTTTTTCTTTTCGTATTAGCAAGCGCTCTGAGGTGACGTGAACGCCCTTTGAGGACACAATAAGCTTTGGGAAAGAAATGTGACAGCACTATTCTTGGACACTCGTGCCACTGACCAGGTCTGCCACGGGGGACCTGCGGTGTAGCTGAATCTGTCTCTCCACCTCCACCTGCATGCGGGCCATGGGACGGGCCAGAGCCAGAGCCACACGTGCCTCCTCTTGCAGCCGCCGCTGTAGCCGCCAGAACTCAGAATCCTCCGAGTCCAGGTCTTCCTCTCCTGTGTCCCGGTCAGACAGAGATGAACTCTGTTTACTCTATAGGGTAAAAACAAAAACTGCTCAGTTAAAGGGATAGTTCACTTTGAAATTAATTTTTGGTATGTTTTAGCTTACCTCAAGGGCATCGTAGATGTAGGTGTCTTTGTTTCTGCAGTAGTTTCAATTTTGATATTTTTAGGTCAAACCGTTCTTGTCTGGCAGTCATATAATAATAATAATAATAAATAACGACCATTTATATCGTTTTTACCTCTTGTAACCACAGCCACGTCCAAGTGATCTGAGGGCGCGGGCGCTTCGGTCTGCGCAAGCGCCGGAAGTGATCTCTCGCGCGGTTGCGAAAAAAAATTCAACGTTGTCTTTTGATATATAAAAATCGTCTTCCACTGCGATTTCCTGTATATCTTCTGAAATCTCTGTGTAAACAATGAGTGACGTACACCCGCGAGAGATCACTTCCGGCGCTTGCGCAGACCGAAGCGCCCGCGCCCTCAGATCACTTGGACGTGGCTGTGGTTACAAGAGGTAAAAACGATATAAATACTGTTCGTTTTCTCACACAAACCGCTCGTTTCGTGTCTTAGGCCATCAATGTGTACTTACATTTACGCGTCATAAAATCATGTTTAATTTGGACTTCTCTGTGCATGCTCTTTGAGGTGGTGACCATAGACCTGCATTATATGACTGACAGACAAGAACGGTTTGACCTAAAAATATCAAAATTAAAACTACTGTGGAAACAAAGACACCTACATCTTGGATGCCCTTGAGGTAAGCTAAAACATATCAAAAATTAATTTCAAAGTGAACTATCCCTTTAAGTTGCATAAGTTTCAGTTTCAAAATGCAGAACTCTGTGTAATAGACATTGAAGCTCAATGTGCCATGTACCATAGGTGACAATGGGGTGTCCAGGCTGGTTTCTGTTCTGCTGTCCTCGGCATCGCTGTCTCTGTCACTGCTGCTGTCATTCACAAAACACATCTGTAGATTCACCCCATTCTGAAACCTATAAAAAGAGCAAGGGTGAGACATGACATCTGATTTAGAAGAATGAATAAATATTCTGCAGGTATACTGCTCATAATACAAAACAGACATGGATACTATCTATCCATCCATCCATCTTTTATTTTTTCACTTTATTTTAATTATTTTATTTTTGACCTTTTTATTTCACTGCTATTCATCGTTTAAGATTTGCCTATTCTGACTATGTTTTTGCATTAAAAATAATAATAAAAACAATGTTTGGATTTGTTAAAAAAAAAAAGTTAGTGTTCATCTACAACAATGCAGCTTTTTACCATTTTACTCAATTCCATTGTAATATTGTTTTAGTATGCTAAATTGATACTTTATTTTGTAGTGGTGTGAAATACAACCAAAGACTTTTAAATGATCCGCATTAGAATATATTTCGATTGGCAATCTATCAGTGTCATGTGAAAAAATTAAAAAAACATTTATTTTAGTCACATGGCGTGAACAATTTGAAGAACAAGCGGCTTAAAAACACAAAGAAAAGTTTAAAAAGTGTAATCTTCACTGAACCGCAAAAGAGTGAAAGATCTATTTTTAGTGTCTGTGAACCACAGTGAAACACACTTCCCACGGAAAGACTTTCCTCTTAAAATGCAAGAGAATCTTGTGGTTAATAGTATTTTAAGAAAACACCGACTGCTTCAAGTAATTCTATAATTACAGTTTAAGGCTTCATTGGCAGAGTTTACTCCTGTAGACTGGTATGACACTGAATCTGTGGTATCTCTTGTAAAGTAATTAGGTAAACAAAGATAAAGAGTTTTGTGGCGAAACATGCTCATTCCGTTTAATTTTAACCCTCTTTGGACTTTCTTTTGCTTGAATTTCTAGGAACCTTCTTTAACGTAGTTGCAAATTGAGAAAAGCACAGAAAAACAGCAACTCCCACACCATCAAACATGGCCAAACCATGGATTTGTGGTATAATTATGACTGATGCAAAAAATAACCACATATATAAGATGGTAAGTTATCAATCATGAGGTTTCTGACTTTATTAAGAGAAAGTGTTCAAATAATAATTGTACAGTACATAACTGTATATAAATGTTTAGTGCAGATTAAAATATAAACACAAAATTTCATATTCTCCCATTTCCGATGTTCTTTACATTCAGTATGTAGGCAGAAGAAAGTATAATAAGCAATACTAATGCTGATGAAAACAATAGCATTCTCAACACTTAATGCTTGGACCACAGATAAGTATAAATTAAAAGTGATCACTGATCTCTTAAGGAGCACATTTTTGCAGAAAGATTATTTTGCAGATGAATCGCTGGTATTTTTACTCTCTGCGACATCTTTTCATCTCCACATCAGCAATGTCTGAATTCCTTTCCCAAATCATTCTTGAGAAGACGTGAAAAGACAACAGACTCTCTTTCTACCATCCCAAAGTGCTCGAAACATGAAACGGTAAGCAGAGCACACCAGACTAAAATAGAAACAAAGTAAAAATGTTCCCTTTTTTCCTGTCAAATATTTGTTTGAGCAAACAGTGAAAACACAGTAGAGACTGGTGTCAAGCGAGAAATTGGGTTGACTACCCAAGACAACAGAAATTATACACTGAAATCGAATTCTAGGTGTGTTAAGCCCTGCACTTCCTGTGACCTGATGGAGTCTGGGTTCCTTCCTTGCCACTGCCACCTTTGTCTTGCTTAGTTGTGGTTTAAAAGTAGGCCTAATTTCAATTTTAATTAGGGTGAGCAGATTTCTCAATTCTCAGAGTGGAATTCAAGACTCCCTTTTTAATAATTCATATAATACGGGTGATACATATAAGAATGAATAACTCTTTTATTAAAGATTCTCTTTAAATACACGAATGCTTCTTTTTCACATCTTAACATCCGACTTGAAGGGATTTTTTTTCCCTTCTGTACTATGGAAGTCAATGGGGTCTATCAACTGTTTGGTTACCCATATTCTTCTAAATATCTTATTTTATGTTAACTGGAAGGAAGAAATGCATACAGGTTTCGAACAACTTGAGGGTGAGGAAATGACAGAATTTTCATTTTTTGGGTGAACTATCCCTTTAATCTAACACGCTCTCACTGACACCTTCACTATCAATAGGGAATTGTGATTGGATGGTTATTTTGTTCTCCAAAATATACAATGACATGAATTACCACCTTAGATTAGACAGGAGACTCTCTCTATTGCTTAGCTATAAACAATTTTGTAGGAAAGGTGAAATGTGGGACAAAACATTTTTCATTGTAAATTGGGACACTAAAAACAGAGCTTAAATACAGGACTGTCCTGGTAAAAACTGGACATCTGATCATTTAACTGCACTGACACTATCGGATTAGAACCAAATTCGAGCTGAATTGAGCTGGATAATGGCCGTCACCGTGATTTTGCCAAGATAACAACATAGTTTGTTGATCCAGGAACAACATTCCAGTCGTATCCAATAGTATCCAGCTGCAGACCCGCAGCACCACCAGTTTCAGAACCCCAGCGCCAGAACCGGAAGTAAGGGGCGGAGCTTACGTTCTAACACCAGCGCCAGGACCGGAAGTGAGGGGCGGAGCTTACGTTCTAAACCGAGTAACGCCACCTAACGTTTTGGAGCGTAATTTGCTTAGACACGAAACGGCATTATTACACACGAAACGTCATACTTTATACGTATTATAATGATACATTAAGGTATAGTACATTAAGCATTTTAAAACATTGATTTTGGATATATCTCGTCGTAACCCTATCCCTAAACCCCTTCCCTAAAATCAGAGAGAAATGATGGTGAATAACACTGATGTAGAAGCACCTAACCCTGGCTGTAAGCCTAAACTTGACATAAACTGTAAACTTAAATCTGATTGGTTGACTCAAATGTTGATCCAGGAACATGTAGTACTTGGTTAAATCACGTTCACTGGATAATGGCAACTGCCAGTTTACATCAAATCAATAAACATCCTACTGGGAAGGGCAATAAGTGTAATGACCCAGAAACAGGTGAATATGTTCTCATACACTGCATAACATAAAAAAATAAGTGCAGGAAATGGAACATAATACACATTTTTTTATCGATGCTTCACACTCTACTTCAGTTGGTGGCGGAAGAAGAACTGAGTTGAAACAACACTGAACTTTATACATTTTAAACCACTAACACTGTTATTTTTATGTTTATTAATGTGAATCTGCTTTGAAACCGATCGGTATTGTATTAAGGGCTATATAAATAAATGTGACTTGACAGTTCTCATGGTTAAAAAATTATGCTTCGTCATAACAGAAATATTCTCAGCAGAACCTTTTAAAATACTTGAAAATGTTTTCACTGTTATTATTATACCAGTAGCTATATCATCCCAGTCAGTTATACACTAAAAACAATCAACATTACATAGGACACACAACATCAAGCCGCTGAACACAAGCGCACACTGACCGGGAGGATGGACAGTTTTTGCTGCTCTTGCTGCAGCCAGTAAAGGTAACCGGTCCGTCGTCATAGAAACTGCCAAGGGCCAGCTTCTGCCTAATGGACTCCCTCTCGTTCCTCTGGGCCTGAGCGCAAACACAGTTGACTTCAATAAATGAAGAGAACGCTCACAGACAGGCAACACAACATGTAGTAGGCCACAGAAGACCTCGCGACCAGGAATATTTGATGAGGCATTTTAAAGAAGATGTCATCCGCTTTAACACAACGTCTATTGGATGCTTGTGTTAAAGGGTAAACAACTCGCTAGATTTCAAGGACAAGAAGGTATCGGTGTGGGAGTGTGAATAGGAAGGTACAATATAAATCAACAAACAGCAAATTACAAAGAGAAAAAACTGGAGAGAGAACGCATGAGGCCCTCGACAAACATACCCACATAAACATTCTAAATATATAATCGCCTGACTATTCCTGATGACGTTATATTGGTAAGAATAATGTTCTCTCAGATGTGCATACTACACTCAGTTCATTGCCATGGCAACACGGTTGCCTTCTGATGGTGCTCAGAATGACTAATATTTAAAAATGCCTTGCACTCATCTCTGCAATAATCGTAAGGGCTACTATTGTGACATTCAATAACTTTCCCTTCCTATATCCACAGACATGCTTATTTTAGCTCACTTTCATTTTCAGCCAGTTTGCAGAGCAGTTCCACTGAGATTAACATTTGGATGGAGAAATTTATGGGGCAGAAGAGAGGCTGATTCATAATGCACGTAACAAACACCCATAGCTCAGCTTGTGATGTAATATATTAGCAATCTGTAAAGCAGGTTTCCTGTGCATTCTGAGGAATGGAAACAGCTAAATGTGATTGCTTTTATTAATGAGTGAGATTTTGCCATTAAACTAGCAGATGCCAAGCAAAAACAGCCATCCATATACACCAAAAATACGACCTTGTGTGGGATGGGTTGAATTGGTCCCAATTCAAGCAGTGCATTTATTTATTTATTTAATTTAGTCTTTTTCAGTTTAGATCATATATCGATGAACTAAATATACAAGAAATATAACATCTATCACTCAGAGCGCAGTTCCTTTCTTATTATCGGAAAAATATTAGTTTAATCTTCAAGCCACCTCTTACACCATGATTTTGCAAATATACACTAGTGTGTGTACACACACAATATAAAGCACACCGATGCTTACACTATAAAAAAAATATAGACCTGTCTTACCTGGTAAACACATTTCTCTTGGTGCACCATCTTTCAGCGCATCGTATAGTGCAGCAGCCAAGCCCTACCTTCTACTGCAGTGTCTGAGCTACACCCTTGAGACCAGCATCACACACACATGAAAGAGGGGGAGGAGGGAGAGTGCAAGCGACCATGCAAGGAGAGCACAAATGTCTCACAATGGAACGCAGCCACTTAAAAAGAAAAGAAAAAAAAAGCAGTGAACTAGATCCGTATTTTGGCATCAATTTCACACTAGATTTTTTAATCTATTTTTTTATTATTTTTTCTATTTAACTAGATCCATATTTTGGCATCAATTTCACAATAGACTTTAAAAAAACATTTTTTTAAAGCAGTGAACTAGATCTGTATTTTGGCATCAATTAAACACTAGATTAATCTATTTAATCTATCCACAAATTTTCATAATGCACAAAACTGGGTGGTACAGTTGTAATCAAAATGATTCAACCCCCATTGCAAATCAGGTTTCACGAGTTCACACATACATATAATTAAATGCGTATTTGCCGTGCTGTACGGGAGGAGGGCTCCGTCTTCTCTCCCAAACCCAGAGAACTCCCCCATCCCAGGTTGGGATAGGAATAGTCAGAAGTGAGGTAGTCTCAGCCTCAGACGTCACGCCCACGGAACGTTGGCTAAACGTCTGATGCATATGGTACACTTAACTGGAAACACTTCAGGAATGTCGAAATCGTCATCTGATTGGTTGAATTTTATCGGATTTCCGGGGGGCGCGAGTGTCGCGTTTGTTTTCGGTCCGCCGGGAAACAAAGCGCAGACGTGTGATTGCGGAAGAAAAACTGTTGTGTTTACATGAGTGACAATGAGCATTTATCAAGATCAGCTAAACGTAGGATTCTCAAAAGTATGCGCGGTTCACGGCATAGACTCTTGAAGTTTTCTTTTCCTTCTTTGATTTTCTATGCTGACTCACTTGTTGCACGCAGGTCTGTTGTTGTGGGGACATTTCCACGCACCGAAACGTGACGCTGAACGAAACGATCTGTAATTGGTTGTTTTACATGTCGGTCAAACGGCCTTATGGGCGGGCCTTGGCCAAAGAAAGCTGCTATGAATTCCAGACCTTCAGCCGTCAGTCTGAAGGTCTGGCTACGCGAGACTAGAAGTGAGGAGACGGGTTGGAGGAAGGATGCTAGAAAACTGTCAATGAACAGAGGCAAGTTTGCTGTATATATACCTCGTCTCGTTAATTGAGTTGATTAAATGAACGTGCTCCTCCGGTGTCGGTTAGAATAATTATCTGAAGGTGCTCCTTCAGAACTTTAATAAAACATAATTTCACGAGTTCACATTAACATATGATTAAATAGAGTAAAGGTAATGCATATTTCGTGTGCTGTACAAGGGGAGGGCTCCGAGCTCGGAATTTGGCCCGAACCCAGAGAACTCCCCCAAAAAGCAAATTTAGCAAAAGAAAGCCGACAGACTAAAAGACCCTGAGAAGACAGGTTGAGAAAAACCCTTGAGTGACTGAAAAAGACCTGCAGCCAGACTTGGTGGCAGCTTGCACAGGAAGTCGTGTACTAAACGCATGCCGGAACTCCAAGACGTACACCACTACTGACCCAAAAGCACAAGAGAAGTCAGCTCCAATTTGCTCAAAATCATATAAATAAGTCACAGAATTTTGGGGATTCTGTTCTGTGGAGCGATGAAACAAAACTGGAACTTTTCGACACTATGGATCAGAAGTATGTCTGGAGGAAGAAGAATGAAGCATATGCTGAAAAGAACACCACACCTACAGTTAAGCATGGTGGGGCTCAGTGATGCTCTGGGGCTGCTTTATATCCTCTGGCACGGGAAACCTGCAGCGTTTGGAAGGCAAAATGGATTTATTTAAGTATCAGGAAATCCTAGGAGAAAACATCATGCCATCAGTGAGGAAGCTGAAGCTTGGGCGTCATTGGACCTTCAAACAGGACAATGATCCCAAGCATACCTCAAATTCCACCAAGGCTTGGTTGCAGAAGATTCTACAGTGCCCATCACAGTAACCTGACTTGAACCCCATAGAGAATCTCTGGTGGGATTTAAAGGCAGTGGTTGCAGCACGCAAACCCAAGAATATTACCGAACTGGAGGCCATTGGAGGCCATGTGGAATGGTAGCCTGGATGCCAACCGAACTTAGCCCCGCCCACAACATTTGAGGTCGGGAAGTTCAGTTTGGACTTGATCCGTTGTGGAGCAACTATGCTTGAACCAGAGCTGTTTGGACCAATCAAATTGTCAGGGCGGGCTTTATACGAAGATGGACAGATGATCAACAGTAACGTAATCACCTACGTCACTAAGAGCGCTTGGGTTGAATTCGTTTACAACAAAGATGGCTTCTGCTGGAGAATTGAGATGTGTAGATTCCGCCATCGCGTCTGTTATAGAAGATATCGACAGCACATTAAAAGAGAAACAGAGAACCGTGATCAAGGCATTTGTCGATCGGAAAGATGTTTTTGCCGTCAAAAGTTTAATTTATCAGCTGGCCCTGATGGTCGCGAAGAAGATGTGGTGCAATGAAAACCCTGTGGTCATTGTTGTTTCACCTGTGGTCGCACTCATGGAGGACCAAGTGAAAGAAGCAACCGAAATGGGCATCACGGCGATGCAACTCGGCGTGCACGACGAGATGGACATAACCAGTGGTCGTTGCCAGCTCCTTTTCGGAAGCCCTAAATCCTGGTTGCTGAACAAGAAGTGGAGGGACATGCTAGGCTCTGATGTTTTTCAAGCCAACGTAATGGGTATCGTCATGGATGAAGTTCATCTTACTTACAAATAATAAGAGATAGTCTGACTGTCTGACTTAGTAAATAACTCACAATGTCGTGATATGAATCATGTTGTAAACATATATTGTACCTAGGTATCGATGTACGTTTGCGAACTCAGACTTAGTACAATCATAATGTTAGTCTCATTGTAGCGGAATAACAAACAGTTCAAAAGTCCAAAAAGGGCAGACGCCATTTCGCGAGAGCTTCGCCAAGTTGGGAGAACTTAGATCCCAAGCTGGTAAGCATGTCCAAAACAATAGCTATGTACAGTTTTCGATATTTTCAACACTTAGTCTAATTCACCACTTTAATTGAAATCAGTTGCATACAGCTACTGTGTGAATTGATACATGCAAGTTTAATAGTGTGACCAGAAGGTCAAAGCCATCTCTGAGTTGGCATCAAACAAGGGTGTTGCTTTGTATGTACTCACACACCATACCCATACTGGTAGTCACTGTACCCCTTATAGGTGATGTATTCTTTTTAGATGTCAGTTCGGTCATTAAACAGTAATAAATGATACTTGTAGATTTAAAAATCTTGCTTCCCCCTTGTTGTTAATTAATTTGACAAACAGAGGTCTTCATTTCTAGCCTGGTTAAAACCAGACCATTCTCAGTTGTAACTGAGTTATGGTCTGGCAAAGCATCATAGACAAATCATTTCCAGAGAGGCGTCACCAACGTACGTCGCGGATAGACCTAAAACCAATCAGAGCGATGAAGGAGATGACGTATGCAGAGCGGCGGAGAAACATCTGTGTGTTGTTCTTTGCTCGGTTTTTTAACAAAAAGGAAACGTTCAAATCGCTTAAAACAGACGCGATAGCTGATTCGAACGAGTGATGTTCGACGGCGGCATCCATCTTTGTAATGTAGGCTACAAAATCTGTTTCAAAATCCCAGCGCTGTCATAATCGTGTAAAGCCCGCCCCAACGTTTCTGATTGGTGCCTCGATTTCGACGGATTGGAAATAGGCTTGAATGAGCTCTTTGCCAGACTAACTTTCAGAGCAAATCTAAATTTGCCGGAAGTTGTCTGGGTTTTCCCAGGCTACTTCATTTCAGCATTTCAGTCAGGTCTCCCTGCCGTAGACAAAGAGTAGTCTTTTAGTCTTCAATACTTCTCATCATTTCTTATTTAACTGTTACTTATTGGTCGCTTATTGTACTTCCATATATTCCAGGTACACCTGTGCTGGCATTGACTGCTTCTGCTGATCGGGAATCCAGAGCCAGTGTAATGAAACAGCTGCAGATGGACAATCCAACTACTTTGGCTCTGAGCCCAAATAGAACAAACATAAGACTGGGTCTGATCAAAGGCCCTGCCCATACACTGGACTGCCTAGACTGGATTGTGAGGGATGTTAAAGAAAAAGGTTTCTCCATGTTGCCAGTTATTATTTACTGCAAAACTGTCAAGGCAGTTGGCAGAGTGTTCTGTCATTTGAAGGGGTCACTGGGTGAAGATTCCTGGGTTGACAGAGACCCTGAGAAAAAGACTGAAAACCTACTTATAGGTACAGCTAGACACTCCCTCACAATAAGAACAGAGTGGACAGGGTAGCTGCAGAGTTTCGTGTCAACAACAGCTCTTGGGATGGGCTTAAATTTTCCAAACATATCACACATTGTGATGTATGGGTTACACTTACAAAGCATGTAGAAGTCTGTCATTTTTATCATAGGCACTTTTCAACTGTGAGTGACGGAATCTAACACAAAAATCCAGAAAATCATATTGTATGATTTTTAAGTAATTAATTTGGATTTTATTGCATGACAGAAGTATTTGATCACCTACCAACCAGTAAGAATTCCGGCTCTCACAGACCTGTTAGTTTCTCTTTAAGAAGCCCTCCTTCTCCACCCATTGCCTGTATTAACTGCACCTGTTTGAACCCGTTACCTGTATAAAAGACACCTGTCCACACACTTAATCAAACAGACTCCATCCTCTCCACAATGGTCAAGGCCAGAGAGCTGTGTAAGGACATCAGATAAAAATTGTAGACCTGCACAAGGCTGGGATGGGCTACAGGACATTAGGCAAGCAGCTAGGTAAAAAGGCAACAACAGTTGGCGCAATCATTAGAAAATGGAAGAAGTTCAAGATGACGGTCAATCTCCCTCGGTCTAGGGCTCCATACAAGATCTCACCTCGTGGGGCATCAATGATTATGAGGAAGGTGAGGGATCAGCCCAGAACTACACGGCAGGACCTGGTCAATGACCTGAAGAGAGCTGGGACCACAATCTCAAAGAAAACCATTAGTAACACACAACGCCGTCAAGGATTAAAATCCTGCAGCACACGCAAGGTCCCCCTGCTCAAGCCAGCGCATGTTAATGCCTGTCTGAAGTTTGCCAATGACCATCTGTGTGATCCAGAGGAGGAATGGGAGAAGGTCATGTGGTCTGATTAAACAAAAATAGAGCTTTTTGGTCTAAACTCCACTTGCCGTGTTTGGAGGAAGAAGGATGAGTACAACCCCAAGAACGACTGGTAGTTCGTAGATCGACTGGTAGAGACTGTTTTTCAAAGATGGCTTCTGCCTGTATACGCGAAGTTGACTGTAAGTATAAAATATCTTCTTATTAAACTGTCTGGACACTGACAAAGTTCTCAATGCTTCGGTTTGAAGGTAGGGACCCTCATTATGCTACCGTGCTAGTGTGGGGCTATTTTGAGCCTTGTTAGTGGTATTAACAAGCGATTTTTATTTGTCATTACTCTATGCCCAATATACTAGTGTTATACTAGCTTTATAGGCTAAACTGTTTTTAGAGAAAACTATTTACATTCGATAATCATGAAAACAAATCTCAGATAACGGTTGACTAGGTAACAATGTGTAATTAGACCAAAGGTTCATTTTGCGCCGGAGTTCTCCTTTAACAGCTTGCCGATGGGCTTGGCCTCGGATTCCAAAGTCCTTGACAGCCAACCTCAACAGGGCAAACCTTTGCTTTCCAGCCACGTTGTTCCACCTCGACTGCTAGCTCAGCATACTTAAGGCTCTTACGTTCACAGGCCTCCTCCACAGCATCCTCCCAGGGTATAGTAAGCTCTATGATATACGCAGTTCGGAATGTGGAGGAACAAAGCACAAGGTCTGGTCTGAGACTGGTAACTACAATTTCAGGTGGAAAACAAAGCCTCTGATTCAAGTTAGCTAAAAGCTTCCAGTCACAAGCTCCACCCAGCTGGCCAGGATCTGAGGTCTTCACTTTGATCTCCCTTGCCCCTTCCCCCACAAACAACTTTATTGGAGCACAAAGACATAATGGAGGAGGTAGGGCATTGATGGAAGTCCGTCTTGAGTCCAATGATGCTGCAAGATACTTCAGTACCTGGTTGTGCCTCCACGTATAACGACCTTGCGTCAAGCTTACCTCGCAGCCAACCAAGATGTGCTTCAGGTTAGCTGGAAATGAACAGAGGGGGTACGTAGGATCTCCCCCGTACCATTTGCTGAGGTTCGCTGGAGATGGAAGGACACCATGGGTGGCTCGAAACATGAAACTAATTTGAGAAGCTTTCATGCCACATAGTTCCTTCCGAGAGAATTTTCTCCTTTCGACGGCCTCCTATCTCATCCACTGCCCTTGCTTTGCTTGGGAAACAGCCTTGCACATCTTAATGCATGCTCTTGCCAGCACACTTCCTCAAACACAAGTTTCGGATGCTGAGCTGGAGTTGCCTTGTAGCTATATCATCTCAGTCAATACAGTTATACACTAAAAACAATCAACATTACATAAGACACACAACATCAAGCCACTGATCACAAGCGCACACTAACCGGGAGGATGGACAGTTTTTGCTGCTCTTGCTGCAGCCAGTAAAGGTAACCGGTCCATCGTCATAGAAAGAGCCAAGGGCCAGCTTCTGTCTAATGAACTCCCACAGACAGTCAACACAACATGTAGGCCACAGAGGACCTCGTGGCCAGGAGTATTTGATGAGGAATTTTAAAGTAGAAGTCATCCGCTTTAATACAACTACACTTTCCATGCTAATTGCAGAGCAGTTCTACTTAAATTAACATTTGGATGGAGAAATAGCCTATATGGGGCAGAATACAGGCTGATTCATGATTAAAAAAAAATAGCTCACCTTGTGTTGATTTATGTAGGATTTGAGGGCGAACCAAACACAAATGAATCTTCCAGATGATTAGTTCAAACATAATTCCACCCAAAACTCAACACTCTAGACCCCAAATCAACAACCTAGCACCCTAAATGATGCTCCAGCCAGTCTAAGCTAACTAACATACCCAGCTAAGTACTTTATGGCCATGCAAGCTTCAAAGAGATGAGCCTAGCTAAAGGAAGAACGTTGCCAACATTAGGTAGTTTGCAAAAGACAGATTGGTTCGAAGATGGCACCGCTCGAGCCCCACAAAGATAACGCCAGAGGTTGTTTGACCCCCGAGACAGAGCAAAGCAGACCTTTTTCTTCCTAAGGACCTCCGGGTAACCCCAGGGTTGAAATCGCTTTAAACCCACAGAGATTCAGACTTTACATATTAAAATAAATTAAATCATTCCAAAGAACGATGCTAGACGGACTTTTAGTCAAACATAGTTCAACTGCATAATCCTATATCATGTCTACTATATATATATATATATATATATATATATATATATATATATATATATATATATATATATATGATATATGTGACTATTGTGCTTAGATCATACATAATTCATGCAATTATTATAATTAGCCTATTGGATGGTTCACTGAATGTATTTCTTGTTTCCTATGATTGTATGCTCATAATTCAGAAGATGGCTTGATTGAAACCCGTGTAAAATATATTGTATTCTTATAAGAAATCATGACTAAACTTTACTCTCTGTACTCTCTGCTTAAAGTGGGATGGTAAGAGATCACAGATAAGGTAATTTATGCAAAGAGGAGAAACAGCCTCCTCTTAACTAAAGACTGTCAAATTGGTCAGAACTCCCCTGAGAGGCTGGACTGCCATTTGAGTTTAAATCTAAGACACGAATGAAGCATTAGAAGTCGATTCAGACGTTTTAGAGTAGCCATGTAGAAAAAAGACCCTAGAAGAACATGGGTTAAAGTTTGCAAGTCTTTCAAGCCATCTAACTTGTCTTTCTCTTACTTAGAACTGAGACTATCAACGGAAAAGAAACTAAGTTAAGCTTTGCTGCAAAGTTTCGGGCAACGATTCAACAGCAAAGCCCGCTTCCAATTTCAAACATCCACGAGACTCTCCATCCATCCGCCAACACACCACATGGTTGGCAACCCAAGACATCAATCCAGACACGAAGAGACCGCCAGCCAATCCCTTTTTGAGCAAAGGACTCATTTTAACTCATCCTAAGAAACGATAGAAGGGTTAAATTAATGATTGATGGTTCATTCAGGTCATGTCTTGTAAGTGTATGTCATATAGTGCTAGAAACATGGGATTTCATCATCTCATTCTTTCCTCACTTAATTTCTGCAACTCGTATGAAAGTGTGTGTGTGTGTGTGTGTGTGTGTGTGTATTTGAGTTAGATGTGTTTGAGTTAGTTTTATGTTTTAAGAGTAATCAAAGTCTTGTTGGTATTTTAAAGAGAAGTGTTCTTGTGTTATATGCTTATGAATTTAAGGTCTTAAACTGCTGATATAAGTTACCGTGCTAATAAATAGTTTTCACTATAGTTTGGATATTAATATCTGCTGCAGAGCTGATAGTTCTAGCCCTTGCATTTTCAGTTTAGTTTATATATCGTTGAGCTAAAAATAAAAGCATTTTAATAACCATCACTCGGAACACTGTTCATTTCCTGGTATCAGAAATTGAAAAAGGCAGTGAACTAGATCTGTTTAGGCATTAATTTCACACCAGATTTTTAAACAAAAATAATAAAAAAACACTTGGGATTAAGATAGGAAACTGCAATGTACATTTCAAAAAATTAATTTTATTGAATGTTTTAAGGCAATTATAACAGAATGAAGCAGACACCCGCATGTTGATGTTAGGAGTAGGAACCAATTTGCAGTCACTCTACATACACCCACACAACCTACATTAGTATTAATGCAGGAAGCAATCTTTCAAAACCAAGTGCAGCCCATTACTAAACGATTTCTGAATATTCACGGGAAAGAGTCAGCTGCAATCTCTGAAAAGTCCACAAAATGAAGTGCGATAGGGTCTTTTTCAGAAAACATTGAACCAAGTTGTATATAGTATTGGAGTGGGTCATTGAGAGGCTGGTTGGCTGATGGTATGCATTCAGCGGCTACAGTAGTAGTACAGGGTTGAGGGGTGGTAGTTATAGGTGGCATGGTAGGGTTTTTGGGAGGTTGAACTGGGTATTGCGAATAAAGCTGTTGCAAATAAAGATGATATATATCTCCAGGGTACATTGGGGGTTGCAGCTTCTGGGATGTTGCTGGTGAGCTTGATGGGGAGGCAATGGGGATGGCTGGAGCTGGTTTCTCTGGGGGCTTTGGTTTGCCATGATGGTAATGAGGGTAGTAATTTGACCCAAAGTCCTGGGGGTATCCTGGAAGTTGAGGCTTCTGGGCTGGTGCTTGAGAAACTGATGTGGTGGGCATAGAGGTTGGAACTGGTATCTCTGGGGAATTTGGTTTGTCATAATGGTAATATGGCCGAAAGCCCCGGGGGTATCCTGGAAGTTTAGGCTTCTGGGCTGGTGCTTGAGCAACTGATGCATCACTCGGGATCGAGATTGGAACTGGTATCTCTGGGGGCTTTGGTTTGCCATGATGATGATGATGATGATGAGGATGATGATGAGGATTATGATGAGGGTAGTAATACGGCCAAAAGTCCTGGGGGTATCCTGTAATTTGAGGTTTCTGGGCTGGTGCTTGACCAACTGATGTGTCACTGGGGATCGAGATTGGAACTGGTATCTCTGGGGGCTTTGGTTTGCCATGCTGCTGCTGATGATGATGATGGTAGTAATACGGCCAAAAGTCCTGGTGGTATCCTGGAAGTTGAGGCTTCTGGGCTAGTGCTTGAGAAACTGATGTGTCACTAGGTATCGAGATTGGAACTGGTATTTCTGAGGGCTTTGGTTTGCCATGATGATGATGATGATGATGATGATGAGGATTATGATGAGGGTAGTAATACGGCCAAAAATCCTGGGGGTATCCTGGAAATTGAGGCTTCTGGGCTGGTGCTTGAGCAACTGATGTGTCACTGGGGATTGAGATTGGAACTGGTATTTCTGGGGGCTTTGGTTTGCCATGATGATGATGACGACGAGGATTATGATGAGGGTAGTAATATGGCCAAAGGTCCTGGGGGTATCCTGGAAGTTGAGGCTTCTGGGCTGGTGCTTGAGCAACTGATGCGTCACTGGGGAAAGAGATTGGAAATAGTTCCTTAGGGGGCTTTGGTTTGCCATGATGATGATGGTAGTAATACGGCCAAAAGTCCTGAGGGTATCCTGGAAGATGAGGCTTCTGGGCTGGTGCTTGGTCAATTGATGTGTCGCTGGGGATAGAGGTTTGAACTGGTTCCTTAGGGGGGTTTGGTTTGCCATGATGGTAATACGGCCAAAAGTCCTGGGGGTATCCTGGAAGTTGAGGCTTCTGGACTGATGCAACTGATGTGTCGCTGGGGATAGAGGTTAGAATTGGTTTCTCTGGAGGCTTTGGTTTGCCATGATGATGATGGTGGTAGTAATACGGCCACAAGTCCTGGGGGTATCCTGGAAGTTGAGGCTTCTGGGTTGGTGCTTGGTCAACTGATGTGTCACTGGGGATAGAGGTTAGAACTGGTTCCTTAGGGGATTTTGGTTTGCCTTGATGGTAATATGGCCAAAAGTCCTGGGGGTATCCTGGAAGTTGAGGCTTCTGGATTGGTGCTTGGGCAACTGATGTGTCGCTGGGGATAGAGGTTAGAATTGGTTTCTCTGGAGGCTTTGGTTTGCCATGTTGGTGATCAAGAGGAGAATGAGGCAGTAGAATCTGCAGATATGCAGGAGTAAGAGGACCAAGGAAGGTTTCATTTGCAGTTGTAGAGATCATAGGACAAGAAATGACTGCATAGTTTCCCTGCCATTGCATCTGCATCACATAACTCCCTCCCTGAAAAGCATCATGAACATCCAGGTTGGTCCACCTTATGCTATGCTCACAATAAGTAGAATGGAAAAAGCAATACCTGTTGCATGATACCACATCCATCATAGGGTGTAGCATAGACAAGACCTCCGTAAGTGGGAATGGTGTGTCCACAGTGAGGTGGCAACTTGGAAATGGGAACAGGTGCACCATTACCTGTGATTTTCATGAAAAAAAGGGGATTAAGACTTAAACCACATGGATTTTTCCTGTATTTATGCAGTTCACATTAAAAAAGTCAAGTCTGAGTGGGACAGTAAAAGACTAATGCAACAAACTAAGATATTGTGCTGGCATCAAATTATTTAGTAAACAAATAAATACATTCACAGGTTACCTCGACAAAGCTCAATTTGTGCTACTTCTGGACCACTAAGTTGCAACTTCATGAGATCATCACCACACCTCAATTTTGGAGACATGGCATCCCAGGCTGCTTCAGAAGAACTGACTAGTTGCCCTGTAAGTAAGCAAGCAGAGATGGGAAGTAACAAAGTACAAATACTTACTGTACTCAAGTAGATTTTTCTGGTATCAGTACTTCACTTTTTACTCTCACTCCTTACATTTTTACACAAATATCTGTACTTTCTACTTCTTACATTTTCAAAGATTAAATCTGTATTTGGTGGCATCTCTAATAAATCATGAATAGGCTAGTCTTGACTGGCAAGCACTACGATTCGGCTCGTGCGAGCTCTGCGGCTCCACTAAAAGGTTTCTTCGATCAGAGTCATCAATGCGAGATACTCAAGAATGGAGTAGAAGTGCCCAGGTGGAGCAGAGAGGCAAAACTGATCTGATCTGGAGTGCGTTTCCTGAAAGCATCGTTATCCAACTATGATCGCAATTTCCATCGAACTCTATTGGTAACGACGGAACTTGAGACCATAGTTGGCTAACGATGCTTTCGGGAAACGCACCCCTGTTTAGGACTTAAAGGGGTCATATAATGGTACATGCACTTTTACAAGTTGATTGTACTGAAATGTGTGTTGGCAGTGCCTGTACACAACCATCATATAATGATAAAAATCCATCCAGTGTTTTTGTTTTAATCTCCTTATATGTTTCCCCCTGCCTCAAATTGAGCCGTTCGTTTTTGTGACGTCAATAAAACGGACGCCCCTCCCGCGATTGTTGATTGACAGCAGTGGTTCAACACAGACCCGCCCTCGCTCGTCCTGTCAATCATAGTCTGCGCGGATTGGCGCGGTCATTGTTGAAATGCTGGAGCACTGTCTATGAGCAGAATGGCGTCTAAGCGATTGTGGTGTTCTGTTCTTGGGTGCAATAACGAACACAGCAGTCATTTTAATTTTCCTAAATCCGAACCGCTGAAGACGCAGTGGCTGTGTTTGTTTTCGAAGGGAATATTCCCCACGAGCAACGTCAATGCTCTCATGTTTGCCGAATCATTTCTCAGTGGACTGCTTTATAAACGAGGATCAGCTGGTTTTGCTGAGAAGCTGCACCTGAATAAAGGATCGGAACCTATTCGTGTTCCTGCTGAACCTTCAGAAGAACTAAAGTGAGTGTAACGTTTTATTAATCTTTATATTAATATTTATATTAATCTTTGCAAATCGCCAGCTGCATGCTTCACGATGAATGCGTCGGTTTACACTCAGGGTACATTACAGCATTCTATGTACAACGTTCTCAATATAATTCATAATCCCACGTTTATAATGAACAACCGTTATGGTTATTGTGTTATTGTGTTACAAACGGTGTATGCGCAGAACAGAGAGGCGGAGTGAGCAAAGCTCATTATCATTTAAAGTCATATGCACTGAAACGGCGTGCTGCAAACAGAGCTGTTTTTGACCAGGTAAAATAAGTGTTTTCTTACAATACTAATGAGAATTTTTAATTAAAGTATATTACAAACTTTTAATTTTACCCTAAAGAATCATATTAGCTTGTACAAAAATGGCATTATATGACCCCTTTAAATTGCAGGTCAGTTTCATCTGGCTATTGTAGTTTTGTATTTGATTACTTAGTAATGGGCTGATACTTCTAATAGTTATTGGCAATTTAATGCTTAACTATCATCACTCAAAATACTGTATGCTAAAAGACATCTTTATTATCAATTGCAGTGGATCCCAACCGCTTAAGTTTTCAAAACGATTAAACAGACCAAAATACAAATGACAAAATACAAATGAAAACTAAAAACGTTCTGAATGTGTGGAAACTCAGCGATCTGAAGACAGGTCAATGTCATCAGTGAACAGTTCCTCTATCAGAACAAGCAATCGTCTGATGGTCATGTGTACAAAAGTGCCACTGATCCTCACAAACATCTAGTCACAGATCAAAAAACACCTTTTCCATTCCATTTTCATATTACCATATTCCGATTACCATAACAAATCGATTTGCCCCACTCAATGAAACACCCACTGAGAATTCTGTTGATTGTGCCCTGGTTATTGGTGATTCGATCACACGGAACGTGAAAATAGAGACACCAGCCACCATAGTCACATGTTTGCCGGGAGCCAGAGCGCCTGACATCAAAGCAAATTTAAAAGTGCTGGCTAATGCTAATCGTAAATTCTCGAAGATCAATATTTATGTTGGCACTAATGATGTTCGACTCCGCCAGTCGGAGATCACCAAAATTAATATTAAAGAGGTGTGTGAACTCGCAAGTACGATGTCAGGCACTGTAATTTGCTCTGGCCCCCTTCCTGTTCGAAGGAGTGATGAGATAGTTAGTAGATTGTGTTCGCTCAATGGTTGGTTGTCTGAGTGGTGTCCGCTTGGGTTGCTGAATATTCGATCCCTTACTCCAAAATCACTCATAGTTAATGATATGATTTCAGATTATAATCTAGATGTGCTGTGTTTGACAGAAACCTGGTTAAAACCAAACGATTATATTACTTTAAATGAGTCAACCCCACAAGATTACAGTTATAAACATGAACCTCGTCTGAAAGGCAAAGGGGGAGGTGTTGCTGTAATTTATAGTAATATTTTCAAAACCACTAAGAAATCTAGTTTTAAATATACTTCTTTTGAAGTGTTGGTTCTTAATGTAAAAATATATAGTGTAAACGATGAATCACATGTGAGAATTATGCTGGCTAATGTACACAGACCACTATAAAGATTTTATCAAAGAAATTGCGGACTTTCTATCAGAATTAGTATTGGCTGCAGATAAAGTACTAATTGTTGGTGATTTTAATATACATGTAGATAATGAAAAAGATGCATTGGGATTGGCATTTAAAGACATTGTAAACTCAATTGGAGTTAGACAACACGTGTCGGGACCTACTCATTGTCGTAATCATACTCTAGATCTAATATTATCACATGGAAAAGATGTTGATGCCGTTGAAATTCTGCAGCAGAGCGATGACATCTCAGATCATTATCTAGTCTCATGTAAATTACATTTAGCCAGGGCTGCAAAGCCGACTCCGTGTTATAAATACGTTAGACCTATAGCCTAACTTCTGCCACTAAAGATTGCTTTATCAATCTTCCTAATCAGTTTCATCCCATCTCAGCATCCCAGATAGCTTAAAAGAACTCGATATTGCAACAGAAACTTTTAACTCTCTCTTTTCCAGCACTTTAGACGCAGTTGCTCCGTTGCGCTTAAAGAAGATTAAAGAAAATAGTCCAACGCCATGGTACAACGAGCACACCCAGGCCCTTAAGAGAGCAGCCAGAAAAATGGAGCGCAACTGGAAGAAAACTAAACTAGAGGTATTTCGGATTTCATGGAAAGAGAGCTCGATTGCTTACAGAGAGGCCTTAAAAGCTGCTAGATCTGCTTATTTTTCAACCCTACTAGAAGAAAATAAACATAATCCTAGGTATTTATTTGAAACAGTGGCTAAACTAACGAAAAAGAAAGCTTCAACCCCAGAAGTGTCCAAGCAGCATAGCAGAAGTGACTTTATGAACTTCTTCACTTATAAGATCGATAATATCAGGGACAAAATTATAACTATGCAACCATCTACCACAGTATCGCATCAGGCAGTGCATTGTAGTCTCCCTGAGGAAAATTATTCATTTGTTGCCATAGGAGAGGAAGAATTTTCTAAACTCGTTAATTCATCTAAATCGACAACTTGTATGTTAGACCCTATACCGACTAGCTACTGAAAGAGATGCTTCCAGATGTCATAGATACTCGTCTTACTATCATTAATTCGTCTTTGTCTCTAGGATATGTACCAAAAACCTTTAAGCTGGCTATGATAAAACCGCTTGTTAAAAAACCGCAACTTGATCATACAAAATTAGTTAATCACAGGCCGATCTCAAATCTGCCTTTTCTATCAAAGATATTAGAAAAAGCAGTATCCTCACAACTGTGTTCCTTTCTTGAAAGAAATGATATCTGCAAGGATTTTCAGTCAGGATTCAGACCGTACCATAGTACCGAGACAGCTCTCATCAGAGTCACAAATGATTTGCTCTTATCATCCGATCGCGGTTGCATCTCTCTATTAGTGTTACTTGATCTTAGTGCTGCATTTGATCCTAAAATTATGTTGGCATTAGTGGAATTGCATTAGCATGGTTTAAATCATACTTATCTGACTGTTATCAGTTTGTAGCAATACATGAAGATATGTCTTATCGATCACAAGTTCAGTATGGCGTACCACAAGGCTCAATACTAGGACCGTTGCTGTTCACTCTGTACATGCTCCCATTAGGAGATATCATTAGGGAAAATGGAATTAGTTTTCACTGTTATGCCGATGATACTCAGCTGCATATTTCTTCAAAACCTAACGAAACTTACCAATTCACAAAATTAACGGAATGCATAGCTGATATAAAAAATTGGATGACTAGTAATTTCCTACTACTAAATTCTGAAAAAACAGAAATTCTAATTATTGGACAAATAACTTCCACACGTAATAACCTAGAATACTGTCTAACACTTGATGGCTGCTCTGTTAAGTCTTCGTCGTCGGTTAGGAACCTGGGTGTACTCTTTGATACCAATTTCTCATTTGAAAGTCACGTGTCTAGTATCTGTAAAACTGCATTTTTCCATCTTAAAAACATATCTAAATTACGCCATATGCTCTCATTAACAAATGCAGAACAATTAGTTCATGCGTTCATGACATCAAGAATTGATTATTGTAATGCTCTACTGGGTGGTTGCCCTGCACGCTTAAACTACAGCTAGATCAAAACGCAGTAGCTCGAGTTCTTACCAGAACCAGGAAATATGACCATATTAGCCCGGTTCTGTCAACACTGCATTGGCTCCCAATTAAACATCGTATAAATTTTAAAATATTGTTGATTACTTACAAAGCACTAAATGGTTTAGCTCCACAGTACTTGAGCGAGCTTTTAAAGCATTATAGTCCTTCACGTCTATTGCGATCTCAAAATTCCGGCCAGTTGATAATACCTTGAATATCAAAAACGACTGCTGGCGGTAGATCCTTTTCCTATTTAGCACCAAAACTTTGGAACAGTCTTCCTACCATTGTCCGGGAAGCAGACACACTCTGTCAGTTCAAAGCTAGACTAAAAACACATCTATTTGACCTGGCATACACATAACACATTATAGACTTCTATAATATAATGTTACGCTGCATAGATTAGGTCAGCCGGAACTGGGAACACTTCCCTTAAATCCTGATGTACTCGTTACATCATAAGAAGAATGGGATCTACGCTAACTTTAGTGTCTTTGTTTATCCAGCAACCTGCTGGATCCAGGCCGTATCCAGATCTGACAAAGGAGATTCGCCTGGACCCGATGACAATGCAGTGCTGAAGTGTCAACTATCCTCTCCCTATGGAGGATCCCTTTCCCACTCTACAGATAAAGCGTTGTTGAAAATCCGGTTCGCGTACCCCGAAGTGATAAAATAAAACAAAATTCTTTATCAAATGTATAGGCAAGACAAGTAGTTTGTTTAGGCATGGTTTGTAGGGAAATTACAAACCTGCGCACATATTCAAACTAATATAACTATAGAATCAATTTTTAATGCGCATGTGAACGCCATCAGGTCACAGGTTCGCGTTTAAAGTCTGTTTAGAGAGAACGCCGTCGTCTTAGTGGCCCCTAATGTAATAACAAATGATAACTTTGCTGGAAGTGAATCAATCAAAACTAACTTTAGCTGGAAATAACATTATTCAAAAATCACTATAAAGCCAAAACAATCTCTGTTACCGTAAATTGTATGTTTATCTCTGTAAAGCTGCTTTGAAACAATCTCCATTAACGAAATAAATGATGATGACTTGACTTATTTGACTTTGTTTACTTCTTATTTAACTTAGCAATACCCCTTACAGACAACACCTTACAAAAAATAATGACGGTTTATCACATACAAAACCATAAACCATGGTTACTATAGTTAAACAATGATAACCACTAGGGGTGGGACAAAATATCAATAGGGCAATATTGTTTTCAATACGAGAATAGATACGCTGGAGCCAAATATAGATATTATAATGAATAAAATAATGTGCTCTAAATAGGTCCCTGCTCACAGCATCGCTACTTCATGGCTCCTAGAGGTAGCGCTCAGCACATGAATGAGGGGAACAAGTTAACTAGCCTAAGAAAACGTTTTTAACGGGATGGTGGACAGCAGTGAGAGTCAAATAGATGCCCCAGCCATGTGGACCCACTTCGGCTTTTATACCATTAATGGGACAAACATAAGTTTACGCTCTTCTCGGAGCGCTTACACATACACATGGGAGCGTTTGAAAGCAGGCATCGATCAGCGGATCCATCTATCAGTGGATACATTAGGGATCCGCTGATAGACGCCTCCCGTATGTATCTGTGCAAGCGCTCGGTGAAGAGTCAAAGATGTATTTTTACAACATGTTTTTGAAGTGTTGATCATTGTAGCCAATCACAGACATATTTTGAGTGTGTGAACACAATGGCCAATCAGAATTCTAGTTTAAGAAACCATTCAACAGTGCTCAAATTGCAAAGGGTAAAAATGCTGGTATCGTCACATACCCAAGATGGTACCTTTGACAACACCATTACATCCCTTGGTTGATAAGCAGTTAAATGTGTCAGTTTACACACAAAGAAAAGTTTAAGCTTTTAAAAAGACTATAAGCATAAAATGTTCAAAATTTACTTCATGTTATTGAATTTACAGACTGAAAACCTTCGTGCCAGTTTGGACTTGAATAAAGAGAAAAACTGCACTTAACCTTTTAACAATCATTTTGTAGCATTTAACGTACATTTGAGTATTTAAGTGATTGTAATAACACATGGTCATAATGTAATACTGTAAATGTTAATGAAATAAATGTACATTATGTGCAAACAAAAATCAATGAGGTGGTTATTTTGCAACAAGTTGGAGACAGTCCCGGAGACAAATGCTGATAGAAATATTGACAGGTAGGCCAACTAACAAAATTTGAAATGAACTTGCAAGTTCTTTTGTATTAAATGTATTAATATGATGTGAGGTCCAGTTACCAGTGTGACACTAAAACAGGTAGTAATGAGTATGTTAATTTTACTTAATGTCAGAGCCTCAGCCCATACTTCTTTACTTTAACCGGAGTAAAAAAATAAAAATATAAAAAAATTAGTCCGTCTTTTACCAGAGTCTCTTTAAACAGAGGTAGGCTAGCTACTTCTACTTGATGCGTGTACTTTTGCCATCTCTGTAAGTATAAGTAAATAAATAAAACAAACTGGAAAGGCTTTGCAAACACTTGTGGAATTCCCCCTTCATTACATTGGACTCAAGCACATGAATGAAATTAAACCAAGCGACCAATAGGCCTACCTGCGACACTGGGGTCGTCACCAAGGTGCTCAAAATTAGCCAATGACTCAACAATTCCCTCGTGGTCTGACATAGATTGTTCTGATATAATCCCGCTCCCTCCATCGTTTGCTTCTTGTGTTCCAGATAATTCTAGCACACTTCGGCACTCTATTAAAATAATGCATGTGAAAAAAACAAACAGTTTCTGCCGCATTTTCCCATACGCCATTCTGCTACGTGCGTGTTCCAGTGACATGTGTTTTTTTTAGCATTTGTACATTACGTTAATTATCGCACCTGTTATCTCCAGCCTGCAATACTTCAAGTTACGCCCACTTCAAGTTACGCCCACTTCAAGTTGCCAGATCCATCTCACGCGAGATTCAATGCCTGTGTTTTTTCTTCTCTCTGTCCTCCAAAATCTAATCTTCGAGCGTTATTTACATTAAGAAGCCTGATTCCGCAAATGAGCAAACAAATAAAAAAATTATTCTGGTTATGTCTTACTTTATTAAGATACTTACAGCTTTATCGTGTGTAGCCTATATTTAAATAACAAAAAATATATTTTAATATAGCAATCTGTTGGCATAATAAAACCTGTCCTGAAAGTTTAAACAGTTGTTAAAAGTTTGAATTTGTAACGTTAGAGGTCCCATGCACATAGGCGTTGCTAAGGTGTTGTATCCGGTTGCAGGGATGGTTATTTCCCTGCTGCAGTTGCTAGGAGTTGCTACTGTGTCCTGACTAGGTTTACATTTTGTGATGGATATTTAGACATAAAATACAAACATAAAGTAAGAGAAAACAAATAAAATAGACTATAGATGAGTTATTGGCAAAAATAGTTGTGCAAAGATCACAAAGGTAAGTAAGTAAGTACAAATATACCTTTCTTAAGTAGAAATTTTGGGTATCTATACTTTACTTTTGTAATTATTTTTCAGCCGACTTTTTACTTCTACTCCTTACATTTTCACGCAATTATCTGTACTTTCTACTCCTTACATTTTAAAAATAGCCTCGTTTGTTTCTCCTATTTCAATTCGGCTTGTTTTCATTTCGGCTTGTCATCGTTCAAAAAATGACCAATTACACAAACGGATAGATCTGAGTCCCGCCTCCTGAACATCGCTAAACTGATTGGCTTTGTGTGTTTTCTTTCTAACTTGTGAGAGGCTGTTTCATTTGGTTGTGCGAAGCGCAAAACTCATCCGAAGGAATTAATTAGGAAACCTATATGCGGTAAGTGAGGGAGAAATCAACAGTTTTCTGCTCAAGAATACGGGGCAAATCGCGTCAAATATTGATTTGAGGACAGCCGTTTTTACAATATAGTATACTGTAATAAGTGGCAAACATAATCGAGAATGTGTGTGTGTGTGTGTGTTTGAGAGAGAGAGAGAGAGAGAGAGAGAGAGAGAGAGAGAGAGAGAGTGTGAGTGAGTGTGTGTAACCCTAGCTCTATTATAGGATCAAAATATCCCCATAAAGATGGCAATATCCGAAATCCTTTTTTTTTTTTTTAAACAGCTTATAAATCAGACTAAGTGATGTTTTTGAAAATGCAGAGAGTTATCTGTGATTGGGTTAGTGTAGGGGGTAGAATACACAGTTTGTACAGTATAAAAATCATTATGTCTATGGAAAGTCCCCATAAAATATGAAAAAAAAATAACATTGCTTGGTCTGTTGAAATGAGAGGCCTGTTTGATCAAGTTGAAACCTTGTCATCCCAGTCTCATCAGCTGGACTGAAAGAAGTTTTAGTGCACTTAGGACCCTGAAAACATGTCTCAATGCAATGGTCACAAGTGACACTTGACAGTACTGCTGTGTGTCGAGTCCAACAGGACAAACTTGACAGTATTGATGCAAAACATATATGCCAACAGTTAATTTCTGTTAAAGGGATAGTTCACTTATTTAAAAATGAAAATTCTGTCATCATTTACTCACTCTCAAGTTGTTTCAAACTAGTTTCTTTCTTCTGCTGAACACAAAAGAAGATATTTTGAAGAATGTCGATAACCAAACAGTTGATGGTAGCCATTGACTTCCATAGTATTCTTTTTTTCCTACAATGGAATTCAATGGCTACAGTCAGCTGTTTGGTTATTGACATTCTTCAAAATATCTTCTTTTGTGTTCAGCAGCGTTTTTGGGTGAACTATATCCTTTTAATGAAAGATGCAGACGTGTTTGCTTCTTCAAAAAGCAAGGAACAAGACAGTATTGCACTAATTGCATTGCACTATTAACGGAGTAAGGTTAAGTCTCTGTTAAACTGCCTCCTTGTCTTTATTAGTTACCTGTAACATTACAGAATTAATGAATTAACGTATTGTTAAGGTCAATATAGACTAAAAACCTGAATACATTATCCTATTAATTTCCTGATTCCTCCGCTTCTGTGAATGTCCCCAGTCCCCACCAATCTCAAAATCAAACCTACGCCTTTAGAGAGAAGTATAAACATATACCATTACCATTCCAAGATAACATGCCTCTGAAGTTTGACATTTTGCACCATTACAATACTTATAGGCAACTAGTCATCATATCTTCCGCTCCATGAAACACATGTTAATGCTCAGTAGTACACACATATGGTTCTTTAATGTATTTGCATTTTACTAAAATGGAAATTGGACTGAAATTAATTTTCTATGGGCATATATGCGGCTGAAACAGGTAGTGTATCCCAAATTTTTCAACATTAACATTTTAATATAACGTTATAGTGATGGCCTTTAGAAAAATGTTTTTTAACAAGGTGGTAGTGCACTATAGGCCCCTGTGGCGCGGCCTAAGCTTTTGTCCTTAATGGCATTTTTTTCCTTTCATTACTTTTACTTTTATACTTTAAGAGGTTTTGAAACCAGTTACTTTTACACTTTTACTTGAGTAAAAAGCTTGAGTTGATACTTCAACTTCTACAGAAGTCTTTTTAAACCCTAGTATCTATACTTCCACTTGAGTAACGATGTGCTTCTGGTGTTTCAGCACTCAGGTCTGTCTGGACACTGCGGTCTCCCGCAGAGTTTGATATTACAGGCTGGACAACTCCTTTCAAATATCCATGGATACCATCAACACTGAACTGGGTGCATGCCTTCAATGCACTGCTGTGGAACAATTCAAATGGTCTATTCTTTCCATCAGGTTTGATCAGTGTGACAAAGCGGAATAAAACTTTATTAGACAGTCTTTCAGTAACAGTAATTTTCCAATACAGTGTACAAGAAACTACTAGTCCAGAACATTGGACTAGTGAACATTTGCTCCAAGTCATAGGCCAACATTAATACCCATGTGAAATGGAAAATCAAGAGAAGACTTTTCAGCCAGGTGAGCACGTGAATTCATCATCTTTTGCAGACTTTGTTTAGAATTTAGAGTGTTGTTTGTCAGAAACCTGCTAAGTTTTGTAGTTGTTTGTACAGTTATAAAGTGACTTTTAAAAAAAAAAGTTTTTTTAAAACCCTTTTCGACACCTCATCAATGTGATATCAATGAGCTAAAGAAAATCTAATGAGACAAAAAGTGGAATATTTTAAACTGGCATGCAAGAATAAACAACAGATCAAATTGCATTTTTTTCTTATATTCTGATGTTAAAGGGATACTCCACTTTTTTTGGAAATAGGCTCATTTTACAACTCCCCCAGAGTTAAACTGCTGAGTTTTACCGTTTTTGAATCCATTCGGCCGATCTCCGGTTTTGGCAGTACCACTTTTAGCATAGCTTAGCATACATCATTGAAGTGGACAAGACCATTAGCATTTCTAAAAAAAAAAAGAAAGAAAATAGTTCCGTTGTGTTGACGGAAGGTAGCCTATTTTCAGGCGCTGCGTCATATCATTACGCCTGCTGCTCTCATGGTACGGCAGTAAAGTTTCTTGATCATTACGCAGGAATGAGAGTATAGTTCCTAGCCATATCAGCCTAGAAAATCACAACTTTACATTTTCCGTCGGTCTTAGTGCACGATGTAACTACAGAAGAGTCAAGTTTTAAATAGGAAAAATATCGAAACTCTTTGGTCATTTTTTTTTTTAGAAATGCTAATGGTCTTGTCCACTTCAATGATGTATGCTAAGCTATGCTAAAAGTGGTACCGCCAGAACCGGAGATCGGCTGAATGGATTCAAAAACGGTAAAACTCAACAGTTTAACTCTGGGGGAGTTGTAAAATGAGCCTATTTCCAAAAAAAGTGGAGTATCCCTTTAAGACATCTAACTAAAACACGAAAATAATACTAGATGATGTGCATCACAGACCCATAAAAGATTGTTATAATTGTGTGCATATTCAAGTTACTTTTCACATTATCAGATGCTGATTCTGCAGTGATGGATTCAGAGATCGGAACACTGATCAAATATATTGAATGTGTAAGAAACATTTATTCTGATCATTTTTGAAAGCTTTTTTAAATTATTATTTTTGTACTTTTTCCCACATCACTTATAAGTCTCTTTATTATGTTTAAACATTTCAGTACAACAAGATGATGTGTCCCCCAACCCCACCCATCCCACCACACCACACCACACCACACCACACTTTTAGTAGTGTTTTAAAAATGCATGCCTTTTCTCTTATCCAGTTCACCCTAATGGTCTCTCCACACCATTTTCTGTACTGTCCAGCAGATGGAGCAGGAGTATTTCCAAACACTGGAATCCTCACCAGATCTCTGTAATGGGCTTCCAGGAGTCCTAAGATACAAAAGAGAGTCCCAAGAGAGGATGTACAGTCAACAGGTTGCCTATTCATTTGATTTCTGTCATTTTAAAAGTGTAACATCTTAGAAAATTACTTATTTTGAATAAATAATTTGTGTTTTACCCAGCCCCAACCTCAACGGGACTCTCCAATATGCTGTCAGTTCTGTGGTTTGAAAGCTTGGCCTCCTCTGGATCTAGGATTTGCGGAGACTCGAGAGGTTCGTCTCTTGAGAAAGGGCATAGCCGAGACAAACACTTATTGAGTGTTGGGGAAAGTTACTTTTAATTGAAATGCGTTTAAATAGTATGTTACTCCTTAAAAAAAAGTAACAAATTGGGGCAGTTACTTTTTATGGAAAGTAAAGTATTACCTTACTTTTGCATTACTTTTTCTCACCAGTGCTGGGCTTGCTTGTTTTTAGTTTTTTTTTGTTTATATAAGTAAAGTCAACTCAAGTCACCTTTATTTATTTCGTGCATTTTACAATACAGATTGTTTCAAAACAGCTTTACAGTGAAAACAGGAAAATAATGCAACAGAGTTTGTTTCGGCTGTACAGCAGATCTAGAAGGAAATAGTGTCATTGTCCAGCATAAGTAAGTTCAGTGTTGATTAATGTGCTGGGGGTGGGGGGGGGGGGGGGGGTCGGAGTCATCACAACGGTATGGAGACGGGTTTGTTGAGGATCAGTGCCGATGGCTGTCGTGTCGATGTGGGCTTCACAGGGGAGAGTCTAGTTGACACAATCTCTGCTGACACTTTAGGGATGCGTTGTGGTCGTGTCTAGGCGCAGGTCCACCATCTGATCTAGATACGGCCCGGATCCGGCTGACTACATCATGCATTGTGGTCGTCAAGGTGCAGATCCTCCATCTGCAGTTGATTTTGATATTCTAGGTATTATCAACTGGCCAGAATTTTGAGATTGTAATAGTCGTTGAAGTTGACGCAATAGACGTTGAAGGACTATAATGCGTTAAGAGCTCGCTCAAGTAATGGGGAGCCAAACCATTTAGTACTTTGTAAGTAATCAGCAATATTTTAAAATGTATACGATTTAATAGGGAGCCAATGCACTGTTAACAGAACCGGGCTAATATCGTCATACTTCTTGGTTAGTAAGAACTCTAACGCCGGTTTCACACTGCACGCGTTAGCAGAGCGTAAGCAGCGCAGGAGCAGTGCGTACGGTGAGCGGAAGCAGGACACACACGTTTTGCTTTCATACTGGCAGCGTTTGACACGCGCGGCGTGTTTACAGACAAAGTACTCTATAATGGGTAAGTTGGCATTGCTTTATTTCGTTTTCAAATACATTTAAGAGAAAAGACTTGTCAAGAAGCTTATTTTATTAATTAATAGGCTATATTATATAACTTTTGGTTCATATTTGTTTTTTTTTACTTTGTTTTCTGTTTAAATTGATGAAGGTCATTTGATTGACTGTTTAAAACACAATAGATATCACCAATGCGCTTTTGGGTCAAACTGCTGTGTATTTTGGCCATGATAAATGCATTGTCACTTTAATTCAGCGTAAGCCGCGCGGCAAAAATAGACAGGACGCCGAAACGATCGCGGCACTGCTGCTCCTGTTCTGCTCCTGCTACGCGCTGCCGCGCCGCCTCTGCGTGCTGTGTGAATGCTCTAATCTGTTAACATGGGCGCCGGAAAAAATACGCGCTGCTTACGCTCTGCTAACGCGTGCAGTGTGAAACCGGCGTTACTGCTGTGTTTTGGACCTGCTGGAGTTTGTTTATTATGCCTGCAGGGCAACCACCCATAAGATCATTACAATAATCTAGCCTTGATGTCATGAACGCATGAACCAACTGTTTCGCATTTGTCATTGAGATTATATGTCGTAGTTTACATATACAGTATTTAATAATGCGGATATACAGATACTAGACACGTGACTTTCAAATGAAAGATTGGGATCAAAGATTAAATTAAATAATTAAATCCTTGTTTTTTCAGAATTAAGTAGTAGGAAATTACTAGTCTTTTATATCAGCTATGCATTCCGTTAATTTTGTGAAATGGTACGTTTTGTCGGGGCGCAAGGAAATATAGAGCTATATATCAGCATAACAGTGAAAACTAATGCTTCCTAATGCTTTCATTTTGAGGAATACTGAATCTGTTTTTGTGGAATTGAGATGAATAAATGCCTGCTCACATTTAGTCTCGTTATACTTTTTACTTTATACTGATTTCTCTCAACATGGGGACAGGAGAGGTGTCAGTCAATAAATGGGAAAACAAAGTAACTTGCGTTACTTATTTAAAAACAATAACAGATATTTTGTTGTAAATTTAAAAGTAATGTGTTTCTTTACTAGTTACTTGAAAAAAGTAATCTGATTACATAACTTGCGTTACTTGTAATGTGTTAAACCCCAACACTGCCCTTATTGCTTCAACACTTTTCCTGAATCTATATGTCTAATTGGACTTCAGGACTTCTGCTGTGAGAACTACAGAGAGTTGTTCGAGATTGTGGTCCATGAAAAGCATCTGTCTATGATACGTTCTGAGGCACAGTCAATCGGACCTGCTCGACTAGATGACCCCTTCATCAATGAGGACGAAGAGCTACAAGATAAAGCACGAGAAAGAGGAAAACACAGGTTTGATTCGTACAGTACTACACACTACTGCTTAAAGGTTTGGGGTCAGTATGAATATTTATTTATTCATTTTTATTTCAGCAAGGATGCATTAAATTGAACAAAAAAGTGAAAGTAGAAAAGAGACCTGAAAAAAACATGGTTTTTACCAAAATATTAAGCAGCACAACTGTTTTCAACTGATAATAATATGAAATGTTTCTTGAGCAGCAAATCAGCATATTAAAATTATTTCTGAAGGATCATGTGACACTGAAGACTGGAGAAATTATGCTGAAAATTCAGCTTTTACGTGGCAGGAATATATTACATTTTAAGATATATTTAGAAATATTATTTTAAATGATAATATAATTTCACAGTATTGCTGTTTTTACTGTACTTAGATAAATAAATGCAGCCTTGGTGAACAGACGAGACTTCTTTCAAAACGATTAAAAAAAAATAAAAAAAAATACTGACCCCTAACTTTAGAATGGCAGTGTACATGGCATAAGCACTTCGCTGTGTTGTTACTTGAGCATGTTGTTATGAAAACTGAAATATGTGATTTTGTTTATACTTTTCATTCCTTTGGATTGGTTTCAGACAGCAGCAGAGAGAGAGAAAGAGATATGACAGAGCTGCTCATTCCAGTTTATTGGTATCAAAGAACGGTGAGTATCCACATATGTGAGTGAGAGCATACTGTATGTTTGACAATTTACCCATGGATGGATCAGTAACAACAATAAATATTCACAGCCAGAAATGAAAATTCTGACATTATTTACTCCCACGACTAGAATTTACCTTTCAGTGCATAGTCACCATTTCACAAAAGTGGTCCATAGGACAATATTCCAAGTCTACTAAAATACATTTGTATGGGGAATATATACACTGTATATACAGTTGAAATTATTCAACCGCCATTGCAAATCAGATTTATTGGCAACATTTACAGACTTTCAGCTGTTTGCAGTTGCTAACAAAAGTAATTGAAATAGCTCAACACAACAAATGTTTCAAGTGTTTTCCCAAATTCAACTGAAAATGCAACTTTTAATGACTTCTCCAGTCTCAAAATTATTCAACCCCCTGTAAATTTGATAGTTTTAAAGTGTGTGTGTGTGTGTGTGTGTGTGTTACTAAGATATCATTCAGTGACAGCATGTTGAGGGGGTAAATTAATAATTTCTCTCCTCAGATGTGCCTCATGATAATTCAGTTATCAGTTTCCGTCTCTCTAACTGTGCACCCAAAAAGGATCTTTGGAAAGTTAAAGAGTACATGCATGTGGACGAGATCTCCGGACAATGGACACATGATAAGTCTTCTGCGCTGGGGTCAGTTGAGTTTGGCTTAACTCATCACCAGGTAACTGACCATAATAATTGACTCTGTTAGAAAGTCGTATTATCATGGTATGGAAAAAGCTTTGTTTCCGCCACGGAATAAAAAATAAAAATGTTTTTTCTCGCAATTTTTCTCAGAATTGCGAGTTTATATTATTAATTATAATGCAAGTTAATTATGGGATTTATTTTTTATTTTATTTTTATTCCGTGGTGGATCAAGCTTCCATAATGAGGTCCTTAAACTAAACATCTGGTCTCTTTTTTTTTCAGAACAATTCAAGTTTCTTGGAGAAGTACTATTCTAATGGAGATAAATTTCTTACTGTGTTTCCAGATGGTTCTGCACAAGTTTTGTATCCTTTTAGCTATAATCTATGGAATACTACAGTATGTGGGTACTTTTAAGTAGCAATATGTCACCAGTGTTAAAGACAAATATGACAAACAGAATGGGTAATAATAAACTTCAACTTCAATAGCTGTGTGAAAGCGGCTATGCTCATAGCCTACTGTATTATATTTGATATGCAAAATTCCAAGGCTTCTAAACTATCAACATGATCAAAACTTTGCTGAAAAACCTGTTGTACACAATTTACTACATGCCTTCTGTCATCTGATGTATTCATTGACTTTATATTTTTAGAAAATAAAAGCCCTTTTAGTTAAATTCTAAAAAATGTACCCTTCAGGTTGTGGTACACGTCTTTGCTGATTTTTATAAAGTACACATAAGAATAACTTTTATATTGTTAGTAATACTTCAAGATGAACACTTGTTGGACCGAAGCAACTTAGCTTTACTTAATTATCCATACATATATTTTTTTTTTAGAAAAGTCATGATACAAAGTGAGTATCAAACATGGTACATCCGGCTTTTTGTTTTATTTGTTCAGCTCTCAATCATCATTGCATTGCATTGCATTAGCCTATATGTTTTGCCCTCACAATAAAAATTACATAGCGTTGATCATAAAACTAAACATTTTAAATATCTTAGTAAGACATATTTGTCAGGCGATGTGTATGTAGGGCACGACATGTATGTAAACTGTACAATGATGACATCTATTAAATCATAGGCTAAGCCACAAGTTAGTATAGAAGAATAAAACGTCATCAGCATGTGCTAGTTGTAAACAAAGTAAGATGAATCGCAATTATGGTTCCCTATTGATATGGTTCACTCATACTGCACTTTTTCTCTAAAAGAGCATCTTTTTTCGCTGGCGTTTGTTTTAAAACGTTGCGCCCCTGAGCACGTTGCTTGCCAGGGCCACACCCAGCCGCATTCATCAAAGACGGACGCTCTCACTGCGAGAGTGCGAGCCTCGCCTCCCTGCGAGAGCGAACCACTCTCCATAAAGAAAGCCTCCCCTCATTCCCCTTCGTTCTCTCCCTCTCAGAAGCATGAGATGAAGAAACAATGGAGTCGCAGGGCTGAGTTCGCAGGAAAAGTGAGCTCATGCCGGTCCATATCCCGAGTGGCTCACTCTCCCTGCAGCGAGGGGATTCCCCAGTGATGCTCGCACTCAAGAGAGAGCACAGTGCTGACAGCATTGCAGCTGAGTACAACTGACTCGGCAACTGAAAATTATGTTTTTGTTGAGGACGTGAGCTTGCCGTTCCCAGTATACTGTCCATTCATTCAGACTGTCTCTGGCACCGCACACTTTCACAAAGTGCAAGGATGCGGCGCTCTCCCCTCTGCGGCAGAAGGGAGTGTGCATCCTGAATTACCTTGATGACTGGCTCGTATTGGCCCAGTCAGAGGCCGAGTTAGACACTCACAGATTCTTGCTCCTCAGCTTTTTGGATTGCCTGGGATTCAGGATCAACTTAACCAAGAGCTCACTTTCTTCCAGCCATTGCATCACCCCCTCAGAGCCTTTTAGAGGATGCTGGGCCTAATGGCGTCCACATCATTAGTAATTCCACGGGGTCTGCTACATGCAGCCCCTGCAGTTCTGGCTGAAACACCGTGTCTCACACACCTTAGTATTAAGGTAAACCACGGCTGTTTCATGGCCCTGGCCTCTTGGAAGGACCCTCAGCTCCAGACCGCCGTGGACTTGGGGTTGATCTCCAGAAGGAAGGCAGTCTCTACAGATGCCTCCAAAATGGGTTGGAAAGCTCTGTGCGAGGGCAGGCCGACGTTAAGGCTCCTGGTCAAGCACCGAGAAATGGCTACATATCAACTGCCTAAAAATGCTGGTGCTTTTTCTAGCCCTCAAAACCTTCCTACCAGACCTGAAAAGGGCACCATGTCTTCATATGCTCGGACAACATGGCAGTGGTGTCCTACATAAACCACCAAGGTGGGCTCAGATCAAGGCCTCTTTGAGACGCTTTCTCTCATGGGTATGACGCAACCTGCGCTCACTAAGAACAGTGCATGTGCCGGGCAGACTGAACCAAGGGGCAGACATGCTGTCCTGGTGCAACGTGTCCTCAGGTGAATGGACGCTCTATCTCCAGACTGTTCACAAGATCTGGAGTATCGTCGGGAAGGCAGAGGTCGACCTCTTCGCCTCAGAAGACAACTCTCACTGTCCAATATTTATCTCAAAGGACAGGGACGCGCTGGCCCACAAATGGTCCAGCCTTCCCCTTTACACCTTTCCCCTGGTTGCGCTGCTCCCTCAGGCCATCAGAAGGATCAGGGAGGACAGACGTGCAGCCTTTCTGGTGACCCCTCTCTGGCAGAACCAGTCATGGCTTCCCAAGTTGATGCAGCTGCTTGCAAAAGCCCCGTGGCCAATTCCCCTCAGGCAAAGGCAACGATTTCGCTCCCTCAACCCAAGTTGTGGGCCCTTCTTGTCTGGCCCCTCGACAGGAGCCTATGGACCTCTCCGCGAGAGTCCTAAACACTATTTCTGAGGCTAGAGCCCCATCCACTAGACACCGCTATGCCCTTAAGTGGTCTGTCTTCTCTGACTGGTGCACAGTCCAGAGTGAAGCCCGATGTCCTGTGAGGTTTCACTGGTACTGTCTTTCCTGAAGGAGCTGCTGGACAAGGGGTGCACCCCTCTCCACGCTCAAAGTCTACATGGTGGGCATAGCAGCATACCACGCTCCTGTGGCCGGCCAGTCTATAGGCAAGAACTAGTTGTTAGTTTTCTGAAGTGGGCCAGAAGGCTAAACCCGCCTCGTCCCCCTCAATATTCCAACATGGGACCTGTCTACAGTCCTTAGGGCCCTCCATTCGAGCAGCTCCAATCAGCCGAGCTGCGGCTCCTTTCGCTAAATACCTCCTTCGGTCAAGTGAGTGGGTGACTTGCAAGCTCTCTCTATGAGTGCGTCTTGCCTTGGGTTTGGGCCCAACTACTGTAAAGTCGTACTCAAACCAAGACACGGCTATATACCTAAGGTGCTCTCTACTCCGTTCAGAGCACAGGTCATTACTCTCTCTGCTCTTCCTGCTTCAGAGGGCAAGCAGGAGTTACATTTACTCTGCCCTTTTCGGGCCTTAAGAGTATATATCTAGATCTCTGCCCAGTTCAGGCAGTCAGAGCAGCTCTTCTTGTGTGAAGAGTAAGTGATTTACATTACAAGCTATCAGAATTTCATCTTATTTTTGGGTCACATAAATATCAGCAACTGCATCTAATTGCATGTTTTTGCTCAATTCGGGCCACTGAATAAAATGTAGGTGTTTTTTCCTCCTAAAGTTTGAGCTCCTTATTCTCCATTGTCCAAATTCAGACTATTATTTCATATGTCAGGCTTTACAGGTATAAATGAGTAATTAGTAATATCTGGGATTGTAGTGTGACTTTAGATTTCACTAAAAGACACTAACTATAAAGGCTATAAACTATGTAAAAAAAAAAAGAGGCTGGATTGTGGTACAAACTATATATCGTTATAAAAAATTGGGTATTTCTTCAATGACATTGGTAATGGAAAACTTTTGCGTGGTGGTATCTTGATGCATCCACACAGGGTTTGACACCTTAGGATAAGATGATTGTACAGTAATTTGAAAATTAGTTAATTTATTATCTATTGCTGTTAATTGTCCTTATTGTCATGTCAATAGCTATCCTTCAGGAAACTTGGCTATCATCATTCTCATCTGTAAGAAGGAAAGGATCTGTATAGTACAGGATGACATGACGACGACTCTTTGCCCAGTCAGAGCCCTCTTTCAGTCTAATGGCAGAGCCACTTGTTACCATTGCAACGGCAGCATTTGGTATGGTTGAATTGCTATTGCACTGACACGAATCTGAATATCTCAAATGGACTGATTCTTGATCTAGGGGAGGAGGGGAAAGTCTGAAACCTTAAAGGGATAGTTCACACAAAATTTTTAATTCTGTCATCATTTACTCACCACATGTCGTTGACGGAACACAAAAGAAGATATGAGAAATGTTTTTTTGAATGTGTATATATGTTAACCACAGGCCTTATTTTAGACGTCTAACCAAAAACCCTTTCTAAAAACTGATGATAGAACCGGAAGTGCTATAATGCTAACTCGTATCTGGGTTTTGGCCTACAAAAATACATCATCCCTGCAGCGCTCTATTTGGAAGACAACATTTATTTGACAATACATACCGTTAGACAGATGGGCCAAGAATCTAACCACGGGAACATTAATATTTATTAAGATATATTAGATATCATATAACATTAGATATCATGAACCAAAAATGAATTTATTATAAATAATAAATGCTTTTACAGCATTTTTTTAATCTACATTTTTACATACACTAATACATTTGAACTTTAAAGGGATAATTCACCCCAAAGATAAAAACATTTTAAATTCCGTCATTATTTACTCACCCATGAGTCTTTCCAAATCCTAAGACTTTTGTTTATTTTCAAAACACATATGAAGATATTTTTAATGAAACCTGAAAGATTTTGGTCCTTCCACTGCAAGTCCACAAAACCAAAACATTGACACTTCAAAATATTTGGCAGCACTTTATTTTGCAGTCCTGTTTCGCATGAACATACCATGTACTTATTGTAGGAATGACACTGTTCTGCTAACCTGAACCCTACCTCAGTCTAAACCATAACTTAACCCATGTAGTTACCTTACACTACTCACTACTTTTGTGAGTAAGTGCACTATAAGTACATTAAAAGTGCACGTACTGTAAAATAAAGTGCAATCAAATATTTGTAAAACCAATATGAATCAAGCGGTTTAATACAAGTCTTCCAAAGACACATGATTGATATAAGATGAACATATTAAATTTAGGCTTTTATTTACTTCTTATTACTTACAAATTGTAGTCTGTTACTGATTCTGAAAACCATAATTAGTACTACTGTTTGGTTACTTTTGATCTAACTTGTTTGTTACATTGAATTGAATAGAATAATATTGTACCAGATTGATGTAAGAAAATATATTCCATTCTTTGCTATCAAAGTCTTACAGGGTTGGAACAACATGAGGGTGAGCCGAGCGATTGTTGCTTGGGCACTTTCCCATTGAAAATGGGCAATAAATGTATATCTGGATAATTTATATCGGTCGTGGGCCCTGTGTCTCATCTGGTTGCCCGTTGAGGGCAACATTGCCCAAAAAGTTGCCCTATGTATCATCACCTTTACAGGGTTGGAACAACATGAGGGTGAGTAACTGACAGAATTTTCATTTTTGGGTGAACTAACCCTTTCATAGATGGACTTAAAGGAAAAATATCTTCATTTGTGTTCTGAAGAGGAACAAAAGGCTTGTGGGTTTGGAACGACATGAGGGTGAGAGTAAATGATGACTAACCCGTTATGAATTGAACTCTATATAGCTAAACTGTAGTATAATATAAAGTTCGGTGAACTGTGACGTGGCTCTTGTTTCCTGTGGTGCAGGTTGAGTATGGGTGCTTGGGGTGGGCGGAGTCTAGATGAGAGCGGGAGAAGGATCCGAATGTGGAGCTGGACAGACCCGGCTCAAACACCAACACCCCTGAGACCACTCTTTCTGTCGCTCAACAGAAACATAGGGGTCCGGGTTCTTAACCAACAGTTGGTGTTTGTGTCATTCCTTGCTTCAGGACAGCAAGCCAGGTTCAGAGTAGGCAACTGTGAGTCGGTAAGAAAGTACACAAGTCCTGTCTTTTAATCTGATCACCGATTTTAGCTATTCATATGAGAGTTTTGAGACGTTTTGTTGATGCGTCACACTTATTACTCAACTCAGATTGGTCCAGCTAAGTGTTTTGTCTGCCGTGTCTTTGCTTACAGTCCAAAGAACACAACACTCCTCCTCAACCGCTCATGTGTAAAGAGGAACTAGTACTTCTGGCATGCAGAGTTGGCCTTCACATGGCTCTGATACGGTTACAGCAGTGCCAAGCCTTTCCATCCAGCCTCACACATTTGAGGATCAGACCTCCACCTTTCCTTCACTCGCTGGTCCGAAGGCTGCGGAGTTTGAGCCACAGAGTACAAATGGAAGAGCCAGACAAGGCCTTTATCCAGCGCTGTCTGAAGGCCTGTCCATGAACTGACACTCACGCAAGACATGCTAGTCTCGCTTAATTAAAGGTGCAGTCACATGAGCGAAATTTCATGGTCAAAAAAGTTCCATTGTCTATTGTCAATAGTGTTGCGATTATGAAGCACAGAGCTCACACAGAAGTCACTTTCAAACCAAGTAGCTTGCTGTGACCAATGTGACAAATTTGCGTGAGCAACTTAAACCCAGTGAGAAATAAATATACGTGGGGAAATCTCTCGCCCTCACTCGAAATTCCAATCGCTTGGATTCTTATCGGAACGACTGCTAAATTGCCTGCTTAAATATGTCAATCAATGGTAAATGTAACCATACCTTAACAAACTTGGTAAAAAAAAAAAAAAAGTTAACAATAAATAGAGGTTCACCATCAAAAGTGACCACAGAAAGTAAATCTTAAAGGGAGAGTAAACCCGAAAATGAAAATTATGTCGACATTTATCACACCCTCATGCCATGACTTATATCTGAATAAAATAAGCACATAGTGAAGCTCACTCGAGATGTATCACAGAAACACAGAGGACTATAACTTAAATAGAACAAAAACAGTCAATATTGTGTCTAAAATGTAAGTAACTTAATATGAACTACTTGTTTATTGAACTATAAAATCAATGTAACATTTGCAATTGTGATAATATATGTCAAACCAGCTCCCTTGCTAGTGTTACAATATTTTATCACATGTTATAAATATAAAACTCAACATTTTGAATTTCTTCCTCAGTATGTTTTTAAACTGTGAGTTTCTGTTTGTGTGCTGTTACGCTCATTTGCAGACATCCCACCTCTCCCGGAAGATCCGGGAGTCTCCCACATATTGATAGTGTCTCCCTGATGCCCGCAAATAATATACATGTTTGTGATATGCATATTTGGTTTACTTTTTCCATGAACGTGTCTCACAGAGGGCCAGGCAGCGAGCCTCAACAGATTGACATTGTTACCGGAAATAGAATATCCATTATAAATCACTGTTTACACTGAATGTAATCAAATCAGAATCTTTCTCGGGTTTCGGTGCCTCCCTAGTTATTTTTTGTCACTTAAGTTTTAATCAGGCTACTTGTCCGGTCGGCCAAGTAAAATTCTCTTTCACTTGCTCCTTCAAAAAACCCACTTGTCCTGGACAAACGTTAATGTCGAACCCTGCAGTTATAGTTATCATCCTTAGTGTGAACCTAGATTAATCAAAGTTAACTGAACTTAGTTACCTGAACCTAGATTGATCAAAGTTTAACAGTTACCTAAACATTTTACTAATGTTACCAAAAATGTCAGGTATAATCAAATTCTTTTCGATTTCAGTTAATACAGGTGGAGCTGGGGAAGGTGGAGGGTTTCTGAAAGCGCGTTGCAACTACAAAGTATTTGAAGGTTGAGCCCGTGAGCTCATCGGCTACTGATACAGCAGGAACCAATCAGCTGTGCCCTAAAGACAATGACGTGATCCAAGCAGATTGAGTGTAGGACCCATCAGCCTGTGCCATCTAGAGTTTCATTACAGAACTTTATATTTGTTTTTGGGTAACTATTCATATATGCTTCAGGATCGACCTAAATCTTTCTTATAATACAAGGATAGCTTCTTTAACCTAAATAACCAATGGGGGTGTCATGCATAAAATTATTACAACTATTATTATTATTGTCCACAGGCTCTATAGTCTCTTTTACTGTAGGTTTATGTTTTAGACAGGCTCAACAATGCACTGAAGTTTGCAACCATGTAGATAGAGATTTTAAACAGTTTTATTTCGGGAAGCACAAAAATAAGTCTTTGCATTTTCACTTCAAAGGTTTCTCATAGGCCGAGACTGATTAAAAGCATTTCTTCTTTTGTATTCATTGAAACCATTTATTCACAGGGGTCATATATAGAGATTGGTCATACACGTATTAGTCATATACATGGTGCTATATAAAAGGAGGTTTCATAGCCTTCCATAGCCTATACTTTTAAGGCAACGGTTTTCCTAACTTTTTTACAGTTAAGTCAACTGATCACTTTTTACAGTGAACTGAGCTGGTCGACGACATCACATTTTTCTGCTTAACTGCTTGATAGATAAATCCAACTAATTTAATACTCGATGATCTTTACAACAGAACTGACTTCCGCTAAACAATGACACTTATTTATTTTAGAGCTGCTGTTCAGCCGAAATGAACAGTTTGCATCATTGAATCATCATTTTCACTGTAAATTATTTTTCAACCTTTATATGTAATATAGTGTGCAACTCAGCTAATACTCTTCTCGTCTTTCTTTTTTTATATTGTTTGAAATGTTTTAAAAACGATTTGCTTTATTTCCAATAAAGACACAATATTCTGTTAATTCCATTTTATTTTCAATTTTCTAAACATTTTAAGCTATACAAAGCAATATAAAAAAACCAGGGCTCAGAAATATAATTAATGTCACTTAAAAGTTAAATTATCATGATGAGGGATGGGTGTATAAGTTAGCTTCTCATATCTATTTATTAATTACATAAAACAAAGACCAGGGTTTAGCTATACAGTAGAATCAAAAGAAAGGAAAATATGCCATAGTAAATTTAGTTGACTGAGCTAACTGAACTCAAATAGAAAATATTTATTACATATTCCTTGTGAGCATATATCCTGAACCAAATAGTTATTGCACAAGAGATGGGCTAGTCATATCTATATGGCCACTGTTGTTGCCATGAATCCCGCACCAGCGTCTGTAGGAGGTGCATCTCCGAGAGGCTCGATGAGGACGACGCGGAGCATCGGGTGTGCGCTAGCAGAGGATCTACTTTCAGCGCAAACCGTCATAAACGTCACCTCACAACCGTAGGAGAGCTTCACCACAAAACTAAAAGAGAATATGAGAGAGAAGAGAATTAATAAGGCTGAGAGAGGGATAAAAATAAACTGTCATCTGCTTTAACCTAGGCAAACATTCGTATTGTTTAAATGAATGCAGGCTTGGTGAGCAAGACGTATTTCAGAATAATCTTACTGACCCAACACTTGCAATTTTTTTTTTAAACAATAGACATTCATTGAACATTTAGTAAGGTTATGATGGTTCCACATACGTGGAGGGGTCCTAGGCTCCATGCAGTGAATCAGAGGCAAGGTTACAAACGAGGGTGTGGAAGTGTGTCCATGTGGACGTTCATCTTCATCTCATTCTCCAGGATTTGAACTAGTTGCTGCATGGAAGGCAGGTGCCCGGACTCCAGCTTGGACCAAACTGGAACATCTAACCAGAAAAAAACAACCCAAAAATAGTGTTACCATAGTGATAGTGCAACCACAGCATTTGTCACTTCCGCCAGACTAAACCACTGAAATAGGCAACCGTCATGCAGCCACTCTCTATAGATGTCAACATCCTGCATGATAAACAGTGAACACCTCGAATTCTTCTGATTTGATAAACAATAATTTAGCACCATTTTATTTGCTATAAAAAAGGCTTAAAGGTTTAGTTAACCTTAAAATTGAAAATAAAATCATCATTTCCTCACTCTGGTGTTGTTCTAATGCCGTATGCCTAGGGCTGGGTACCGAGTTCGGTACTTTTTAGGTACCGACCGAATTGCCTCGATACTACCGAGTATCGAAACATGTCTTGTTTTTCGGTACCACATTTCGGTACCTAAGTGGTTAATCTCGTCAACGTCAGTGAAACAATAAGCATGCAGCATGATTGGCTGTGGCGGAAAAACACTAGTTTACGCGGCTGCCCAGACGCGGCTCGTCGCACGTGAGGCTGCAGTGTGTGTGCGTGTGTGTGTGTGTGTGTAAGCGTGCGTCCCAACCCAGATAGATAGAAAATATGTGGAAATGATCCAAAGTGTACCTATGTCATGTGCCAGACTCGATGCCAGATGCACGCGATGCAATATTTTCGACAAGATCATTGCTGCCAAGACCGGCAACACGGTAAATCTAGGCACTGAAGCGCACAAAACACACTTGAGAGTAATGGTGTTCACATCGAACGCGAATAGAGCGTCAAATACGCGTCTATCGCGTCTAGTTCGACGCTTGAATCTTCAGCTCGAGTTCAAATTTTTCAACTTGCGCGGAAGACGTTCGCGGCAAACGCGTCGTCCAATTCGCGTCATTCGCGACGCCCGGCGCGAATGATGCGTCTATTCGCGTCTTTGCATTGACTATGTAATCTACTCGCACAAATAATTAAATTCGCGTTCGGTGTGAACACACCATTAGTAAACACTTGTTCATTAATAAACAATTAAAATATCTCCTTGCTATTGTTTCCACATCCATAATCATTAGGCTACTTTTGCCAGTGCTTTGCGGCAAGCTTCACGTGCAGGTATATATCCCGCCCCCCAGTAGCCTATATTTAATTTAATTCACATTTATTTGTATAGCATTTTTCACAATACATATCGTTTCAAAGCAGCTTTACAGAAAATGCATGTCTAAATTACAATTTAGAGTGATCTGTTATCAGAGGTGACAGTGTAATGCATTTCAATTAATTTTCATTCAGTTTCATCGTTAATTAATGCATTAAGTTAAAGCAGAAACAATGAGCTCATTGAAGTAAAGAATACATGTTGTTAAATGATTAGGAAACATAGAAAACTTTAGCATTGGTGCTTTTTTACATACTCAAAATATGAGTGTAAAAAAGTCAACAAACTGAAAAAAAAATTAGGTAATGTTATATTGTAAAACCTGGTTACATAAAATTGGTATCGAAAAAAGTATCGTTCAGGAACCGGTATCGAAGTCAAGGTATCGGTATCGGTACCGAACATTTTGTTACGATACCCAGCCCTACGTATGCCCTTCTTTCTTTTTTGGACCACAAAAGTCGGCCATATGCTGGCAGTGAATAACGAACAGAATCAAGCTTTTTAAAAAAGACGCGTCACATCCCAAGTGTTCTGGAACTATACGATAAGGTTTGGTGAAAAACAAACCAAAATTGTACGTATTATTTAACAAAAATCCTGACCTTGCCCATTGGTCTTCTGTGCATGGCTGCATGACGTGCACGTTTATGAGACTCTAATAGGAGACATGAAATTCAACGGCTAGAAATCCCCCAAAAAAAGTATCCGTGTTCAATCTCTGGACTGCACCAAACCCAACCGTACAGCCCTTTAAAAACACTTGGGATATACGGCAAGGGATTATTCTGTGATACTTTAGTGTCGTTTTTAAAAAGCTTGAGCCTGGTCGCTATTCACTGCCATTATATTAACAAGCGGGATTTAGTTCGAAAAAGAAAGAAGGGCATATGGCATTAAAACACCAGGGTGAGTAAACGATGACTTCTTTTTAATTTTAGGGTGAACTATCCCTTTTAAGGGTTTGAATGTCTTTGGTCGAGTTATGTTGTTCTGAAAGGGGTCATAACAGGGATTTTCTATTCATTCATATAAGTTTATTAAATAGGATAAACCCCTTGAGATGGACCATCTCGTTTTCGCTATCTAAACTATAATCATTCAATTATCCATTTTTACTAAGTTTATGTATAGGTAAATTAATATTATATACACAAATTTTATTTATAATACAAATAAAACATCAATAATTCTAATAATTTCAACAATAACTATTATAAACAATAATATACATTATATTTTATACATTGAAATATTAAAATGAACACTTACCATTGAGCGTGATTTCAAAAGCACCCGTAGACATACACTGATTTTCAATCATATTGCTGAAGAAGAACACCATCATACAGGCATATATCTAACAAAAAGAAACAAATCCCATCAAATAAGCATTGCTGCAGCTAGTTTGCTTGTACTGTACATATTTAATGTTTGAATACTTTTTAAAAAAATTCAAAGAATGCTGAAGATTAAAATCGTCCTCGTCTACATTTCAGGAATGGCACATTGAGAGTCAGGTGAACATTAACATGAGGCTTGTCCTTTGGTCTCTCGGGTGCATTCTCTCCTAGCACTGCAGACAACACCGAGGTGACGAAGTTAAAGACTAATGAGGTCCATGGGGGAAAAAAGTTTGTATTTGAACCCCTGTTGGATCTTCCATCTAACCTAGTACTAAAATAGCTTGGTTACAAGTCGTAGTTCTCCGAAAATTACAGTTGAGTTCCCCCATGGCTAGGGAAAAGAGGCCAACTTGGCATGACAATGGACAAATGGAGCTTGAGGCAAGTAGTTTTAGCTACATGTCGCATCGATCAATACGCCATTTCGTGTTGCATTTTCATTGGCTAGTCAGTAGACGTAGGTCGCCGCAGCAAACACATTATCGCAGGCCATCTTTGGTCAAAAGACTGTAACCTCTCTCACTGGACCACCGATTAGGAGCCACGACCACAGAAATCGGTCATCTTTCGGCTGGGACAGCCCAAAAATCGTACAATGTGTACCGGGCATAATGGTCTTGCCTTATTCTCCTGACTCCAAACCCAGATGCCTGGAGCCTGCATGCCAAATAGAGCAAATGGATCCTTCCCCAAAATGACCACTCCGATTAACACCAGCTTAAACATAGACAGAAAGGAAGCAAAGTGCCTGGAGGGAAGAAAAAGGACACTTTAAAAAGAATGAATTATACACAAACAAACACATATATTATGAATATTATATATAAATGAATAAATACAATTGAAATAAAAATGTAATAAATTATTTTGTCATTGATTTTATTTATACATTCATTCCAGGCCACGAGGCTAGAAGGAACGCAAACGTGACTGTAACAATGAGCAGTGTTGTGTGGGCCATTACCTGTAGAGAGGCATTGGAAGGTAGTTCTCTCCTTCTATGCGGATGTCTGGGTACCGCTGGTACAAAACCTGCGTGTACTCCTCAAACACCCGCTTGTACCCTCAGGAGATACTGAAACAAAACAAACAAGATGAAGACACACCTCAGAGCCTTTGCTTCACTTACAGAGTGATAAATACAACTGCACTGTGGTGCTGTAACTATATAAATTAGAGCTCGGACAATTAATCGGTTTTGCGATTAATCTGCACCGATAGAACCAAAGAAACTTTAACAAATCAGAAACGCATTCGATTTTATTTTTATTTTTTATCGTCACTGTAATATATATTTTGATTAGATAATCAAGTGTTCTAAAATAGAAGCAAATAGCGTGTGGGAGTATACATACAATATACAGTATGTGTTTCAACGCTATGGCCTTTGTGTAAATATTTAAAGATGGCCATCTTTAAGTATGACTCTTTGGATTTATATGAAATGCTAAAACTTTACAATTAAATTTCCATTGGTGACATTTACTAAGGTTAATACAAGTATTGCTCATTTGTTAATTTCACCATTTACAAAAACATTTTTGCATTTTTAAAAGTTGTATTTCTTTACATTAGTTAATGCACTACAAAGTAACATAAATGATCAAGGTATAATTCATATATTCATATTTATATTAGTGCTGTCAAATCGATTAATCGCATCTAACAAACGTTTTTGTTTTGATAATAAATTGTGTATATGTGTGTGTCTGTGTATACACATGTATAAATGTGTGTGTATACAGTATATACACACAGAGACATGTATAATTATAATAATATACACACATTTATTATGCAAGTTAAACAAAAACTTATGTTAGATGCGATTAATCGATTTAACAACAATAATTTATATTTAAAAAGTACAGTACATTTTCATGGTTCAGTACGGTTATATATATATATATATATAACGTTATATATATATATAAAGTTCACCACAATTTGTGTTATGTTTGTTTTCATTCAGTATCTTTTATAACTATCGGTTGATTACTCGTTTATCGACCAGTGCGGTGCAGCCTATAGTTATCGTTACCGAAATGACCTCGAATATGAACAATCATTTCCATTTCAGATTGTGATAAACGCCCTTCCAATGGATGCAAGATATTATAGCAGCATCGAATGTGCTTTATAAATCAATAAAAGCAGCATTTATTTAACGTGCAGCGGTTCAAAAGCGAAGCACACAGACAGATCCACTATTGGGCTAATGCTCAAATGAGAGCTCTCCACTTAACACCAGATTACTGGCCGATTATAACATCCTGCTGAGGTTACTTGCCAGACTGCGTGTGCCATATGAGACAAATTAAGGCTTGTTTGAGCATACTATCACAGTACAGTTTATCTGCGAGGTTAATCTGTGCTACTATATCAACACACTCAATGTCACAATACAGTCATCGGCCTGTTCCGGGGACCGAAGCCGTGCGCCATTAAAGTGTCCAAACTCTTACTCACCAAATCTGGAATTTAAGAAGTGGACCGGCGGCAAAATGCATCTTCATCTTCTTTACGCCATTGATATCCGCAGAGGCGCTGTAAAGAGTACAGGCCCATATTATTATCACCGAGAGAGGCAACCAACGCATCTTCACCCACGACGATCAGTTACAGAACTGAAGACAGGAAGTAGACTCAGACTGCTGAATTTCATACGGGTAATCCTAAAAGCGACGCTGTGATTGGTTCGTTCCGTGACGGGAAGCCCGGCTCATTTCCACGAATCGGTTCTTTTGAACAGTTCATTTCAGAGAACTGGTTAAAAAAAGATATTTGCGTCCTCACGCTATTGCGTCATGACGTGGTTTATTTTTCTTCTTTTTTTTTATGTAGTCTCTTATTGGCCTTTTTTTTGTTTAATGTTTACCGATGTTTAATCTACCTTCAAATTTCTAGCTTTTAAAACTAATTCAAACTTAGTCTTCAAACTTCAAGATTTTACAAATGGGATACTGACAGGCTCTCTCAAGCCAACATCAAAGTTCGTCATCTTGACAAACTTTTTTTTTATCTAGTTGTAAATTCAATTGTCTCAGTTTAGTTAATTGCAAACAACACTACCTGTCAAACGTTTGGAATAATTAAGATGCTTTGAAAAAAGTCTCTTATGCTCACTAAGGCTGTGTTTATTTGATAAAATACAGTAAAACAGTAATATTGTGATTGTGCAATCATTGTGCAATTTAATATTGTGCAATTTAACCTTAACTATTCCAGACTTTCGACTGGTAGTTAACATAAAGTCATTAAAACGCATACACATTGTTTCATCAACCATACAGTGAATCAACTCGCTTCTCGACTCCGAAAGAGAAGGTTCTTTAAGTCTGTGAATTGTTCTCTGAAAATCTCAGATTCCGTCCGAATCGTGAAAGAGGCCTGTCCCAATACCTATGCTATGCCCAATACCCACTGGGACAGTCCCAATTCAAGCTGGTTTTGCAACCCGGTTCAATCGATTCATTAAAAAGATTCGACTCAAAAGAACAAATCGTTTACAAACCGGATATCAGCATTTGTTTTTGGTTTTTCTAGAAATGTTACACTGTTTTACGCCTCATATCCATTAATTGACATGTAATGTAAAAAAAGAAAAAAACATCCAAGATTTTTTTTTTTTTTTTTGCAAGAATCCAAGGCTGCCAACCCAAGGTCTTGATTAATATGAACTATTTATATGTGTATGACCGCACTATGAAAGGACGGTACCGAATTTTAAAAACGTAAATAAACTTGAACTTAATAAACTTAGTAAATGATTAATAATTTACAAAGTAATTTAGCGTTGACATTTATTATCAGCGTTTTGCAAAAAGCGGGCTGGCCCTGACCCAGAGCATCATCATGAGTCCATTTGCGTTCTTCCGGTGTAGGCGGAGCTTACATTCCGAGGACGTAGACAAAAATCGACGTAGTTTTCTCTTCATCCTCACTAGTAGTTTGTGTTGTGTTCGTCATATTTGTGACTGTGACCAGCTCACTTTTTACAACACACCAGCATTTTGCAACGATGGTCGCCAAACAGAGGATTCGTATGGCCAACGAGAAACACAGCAAAAACATCACCCAGAGAGGCAACGTCAAATCGACGGTATGACGTCTCTTCACGATCTTCAACAGTGTAACCGCAGAAGAGAAATGAACTTAACGTAATGTGCTAACATGGCTGGTTGGTTTTAATAATATCAGGCGTTATGGTTTATCTTTCTTTGTAGTGAAATACTGTCCTTATACTGCAGTATGCTGAAGCCCACTGCACTACTACTACTATTAAATAATGCGCGATTAATTTGCAACTGATTTGAATGTGAATTCACACAGAGAACCGTGAGTGATGAGAAAGTGTCGGTGGGACCGTGGCTCTTGGCACTCTTCATCTTTGTTGTTTGCGGCTCAGGTGAGTGAAATGACCAATTCTAAAGATTATCATGCCGTAGACCCACGTTAATTTGAATACCATTTGTTTTTATACGAGCTGGTGTTGCACTTTTTTATTGAGTCAGAGATATGTAGACGAAGCCGACCTCCACTCAACTTTTTTTGGCACACTCGCACTGTGAAACCTTGTGAAGGCCGAGATAATAATGCACACTATTTACATGGACAAGGCTGGACTGATAGCATGACTTTATCTGCTCATTTGGGGTACAACACGTGGATTTGCAGGTGTTGCTACTCTCAAAACAGCATTGAAGAACATTGCCAACAACACTGCTTAAAAACACCATGAAATCAAAAAGTACAATTCTTTTTTATTTTTTAAATTGAATACTGCAGTTTCATAAAGGATTTATCCGTGTAGATAAAAAAAATAAAGTGTAAGGGTCGGGATAATGTACATCCAGCTGTTTTTTATCGGAGAATAAACCCTGACAGAGTGATCAGGAGTCTTGCATCAGCCTGAAGGGGTTTATTCTGCTATAACAATCGTCTGGAAGTACATTATCCCGTTTATTACACGGCTACTTGCCACATAAGTAAATAACCAGACACAAAATATTGACTTGATTTTAAATATTTTATTAGGTCTTTAAACGCAAAGCTTCCGCGGAGAGAGCAAGTTGCTAGCATGGCAAGTTCAAACTAGACGGACATTTAAGGGATACGGTATACAGTCATGCCACTTATTACACAGCATTTCACCACATAAATAATAATGAGGATAAGAAATATTGTTATGAGATGAAACTGTTTTAAAATCTTACCTGTTTGTTATTTTATAATAACCCATATAGTGTACAAAACAATAGTCGCAAAATGACAGTAGCTGCGTTTCCATGAAACAAAGAGAGACCGGATGACAGAATTAAATAACTACACAAAATATTGATTAAAACTCAAATATTTTATTAGCTCACCAAATGCAAAACTTCCATGACGAAAAAACATTCCTAGCAAGCGTAATTACCGACTTCAGTGACAGTAACCCGGATGAGCCTGTGTTACAGGTTGTTATCAGGGAATAAAATACTGCTGGATGTATTACTGCGATTGACCTATCAAAATCAAGTATTCCACAGACTTAACTTCCCCTCCCTCTTGAACCGTTTCTTCTCTTCTCTGATGATGTGTTTACTGGCATGAGGGCGGGACAACCTGTCACTCACATGAGATCGACCAATAGCAAGCCACCATGGACAAAATCAAGTCCCGGCCTAATTTTTTTCTTGTTCAAGAAGCTTTCACTCGGATATACGTCACAACAATATGTAAGAAAGTCCGTATCTTGTACTCGAGTAATGGATCTCATTACCAGCCGGCTCAGATCTACACATTGTTTTTAAGACATACAGTAGTTTAAGCCGAGCTCAGACTATAGGTGTTTCAGGCTGATTTATGCTCGATTTACCCCTCCTGACATCCAGAGACAAAATTACATCCAGGGCACCGGTTGGTTCCGATGTTCGGCCCAGATTATCTAGTAATGTTCGGTATTTACAGATCTAACCTTAAAGGGATACTTCACCTCTGGAAAGATGAATGTGTATTTAAAATGGGTCATTTATGTAGAAGAAATGTGAAATTATTTTTAAATTTGGAGCTTTCTAGCCTGAGGCTAGGCTACTAGTGAGTCTCCGTGATGAGTCTGCCCGAAAATGGGTTTCGAGATCGCCCAAAATGTCCGGGATTCGGCTTTTGCGTTCTACAGTCGCCATTCATTATGTTTACTGTGGCGAGCAGGACGAGACTGAGGGCCGCGGGAGGACGGCGCAAGGCCGGTGGCGTGATTACTGATGAGCGACACCTGTGAGACGCACCGGTCTCGTATCTCTCACGGAGGAGCGGGAATTTTCTTAGCAATGTTAAAACGCACATCAACTGATCACTTGTTTAGCGTTCATGTAAACAATACATTCAGATTCACCAATCGGAATGAATTCAGCTGCAGAAAGCAAAAGCTGAATCCCGGATATCGACGGCCGGACATGTCCGGGAAAAAGAGGATGGTAACCCCTACTACTCAGCTTTCTCCACAGAACAAGAGCCTGCTAGCTTAGCTTCCAAAAAAAGATGGCTGACACTATGTGTACATTCTGTGAGTGAGATCCCACCCTCTATGGGCGGGTTGAGAACATGCGGGACAGCCCCTACTACTGACTGTAGTCTTTAGCCTCTGGCCAAAAAATCCTCCGATGACGCAAAATGACGTTTTTTGCGTCATCGGAGGATTTTTTCCAGACAAAAAATACATGAATCTCTCGTCTCAGGGGGATATGAGGGTGGAAAGCATGGTAATTTGAAAATACTACAGGTTTTCTACTAATACAAAGCTTAATGCTAAATCCTGAAGTATCCCTTTAAACGGTCTGGTGGACAATGGCGACGGAGGAACGACTGCCTTTATAATGTCTCCTCATATAATGTGTACAGCAAGTCGCCACGACACCGCATCCATTTTGTTTACATCCACTTCCCTGTGAGATGCTAAATCTGGCATTGTAATCTTAAGAATTTCTTGTAGTGTGTGATGATGTGCCATGATTTTCAAATCTTGTAGTGTGTGTGCAGGTTTGAGATTGGAAAGAAGAAAATCGGTGAAGATTCTCCATAATGTGCGCGATGCAACCACAATTCACAATGGGTTAAGATTTGAAAACTCCTGCGCTTTAGTCATAACGGCTCCATCTGGACTTGACGTGGCACTTGCTCTGACACGGGCTTCTTCCAGCTCTAGCAGGCTCTTCTTTACCCCGTGTCCTTTGGGAATCTGTTTGCATTGAACGAATGCCATTTTCGTCCCATGTTTTCGGGGTCATCTTGCTCTCTGTTTGCCTGCCCTAACTTTTGTGATCTTTTGCAATCTTTTTATCTGATTAGATCCAGAAAGCATCTGTTAAAGATGACACTCTTTGGGAAAAATCTGTTTACTTTAGTGAGAGAAAAAAAAATGGCCCTTTATAAAGCTTGCACTTATGTTGTTATAAACCTTGACTTCACAAAGTTCAGGTTATCAATATTCTTTCTCCTCATTTTTTCCAAAGCTGCAATATCACTCTGAGCTTCACTGTTTTATTTGTTTTTGTGTCTCTCCTCAGCAATATTCCAGATCATTCAGAGCATTCGAATGGGCATGTAAAGAGGACCAGTGATGTCTCAACTCTCCACTCCTCGCCACTTCCACATACTGCACCCAAGGAGCTTTTCTGAAAGGCTTTTTGTTGATTTTATTGATTTATCTTCTTCTGTGAGGTGCAACGATTCTGTCATTCCTCTCTGGTGCCTTTGTAATGAAGAAAAAAAATCAAAAAGCCATAAAATTGCATTCCGATCAATTGTAATGTTATCTTCTGTCAATCTATTCTTTGATGTAATGTAAAAAAATCTTGATGTCGCAAGGAGTGATGCCTGATTTCTCGATCATTCCTGAAATAATTGTGCAAAACTGATTTTATGTTATTTTTTTTTATTTTTTTTGGGACCCCCAAACATTCAACCATTTTGTAGTTTCCACAGGATATTTTGAATGAAAAGCCAGTCAGCTCATCTATATCACACCTCGTATTAATTAACTTGTTTTCTTAGTAATTTAATAGCTGCCTCCTTTCTTCCAGAATATGAAATTTCAGCCTGGATAATGTAGTTCTCTGGCACATAGTGGTACTCTTTACTGTAATAAAATGAGTTTTTTCTCAGATGATGTTATAGTCATGTGTCATGATAGCATAATGGAGGAAGAGAAACAAAGAGCTGGATGTAAAATAAAAGGTTAATGTTGGTTACCACAGAGTTAACAGCACCCATTGACTTCCATAGTAGAAAAATACCATGGAAGCCAATGCGTGCCGTCGACTATTCTTTGTGTTCAACAGAAGAAAGAAACTCATACAGGTTTAGAATAACTTGAGGGTGAGTCATTTTTAGGTGAATTATCCCTTTAAGTAATACTTGAACTTCAGTGTGGAACAAATTCTGCTCCAACACAAGTAACGTTTTGTAAGTGTTTGTAAAAATTAAAATGTTCAGTACTGAAAGACCGTTGTATTTGATTATAGAAGCAATATTGTTCATGAACATGGTATTATGCTGTTCTTCTCTCCCTTCTAGTAAAGCATCCAGACAGTAGAAATAAGGCAATCTTCAGTGTGGATTTTGATTGCTAGTTCTTGTTAATTTAAAGAAATCCTTCAGTTGTGACTTGATACCAGAATGAAGAATTGCTGAAAATGAGATATGTTGTTAAAGTCCCCCCGTAGTCAATAATTTTATCACTTAAAACTCATCTTTGATCACCAAAATTACATATTTAAACGTTTTTACCTTTGGAAAATAAATGCCTTAAAATAGCTTGAATGTAACTCTACACCCTTGCCTCATTTATTATACGCTGTTCTATGAATATGCAAATTAGCCCCGCCTCCACTCACTCACGCCAGCTCAGAGATCCACTCGTTGACGATCACACGTTGACCTGATTGGTTACAAGGTAGTTTGTGACGTCAGAAACACCAGCGATTTCAAACCGCTTTTTTGAGACTTTCTTTGGTTCACTGCAGTTTTAAGGAGACAATACACAGCAATTGTGTTGACTTGAATTTGCACATAGTTTGATATATTAAAAACACCGCATAACAACATTAAAATCATGATTTTCACCAATAGTTAAATAGTTTCAAATTTAAGTTCTTTTTTAATTTTCAAGACTGTCGAAACTGTTCAGGATTGGTAAAGTATAATGAAATATTAAGGATACATTAAACATAAACATTTACTTGTAGTTCAGTTTGAGTAATTCTAAACCGAAGCAAGGGGAACTGGCTTGACGCTACTCGAGTCTCCGCAAGGTGGCGCTACGGGTCCATCAGTTCTCTGTTACTTTCATTGGCCACGAAGAAGAGGGGAACCGCTGTAACTGTTGTCAGAGATGTTGCTGTGGAGACCTGAAGTTTACGACTCAGGCAAGACAAACAATTAATTAATTTTCTTATTAACAGTTACCAACTCAAGCCGTTAGCTCCGCATTTCCGTGTATGAAAAAACCTTTGGTCAAACTTAAGCGAACTTACGCTGGTTACAGCAGTCTGTGAATGTGTCCGCTCACATTAGCAGGTTAGTTCAATGTTTGCATAGTTACACTGACAAAAAACAAATGTCACATAATTTTTGTCGCAGATGTGTAACGATTGCGTGTCTGTTTTGCATGAGGACCAGATTTCCCAGTTAGCCGGGTAAGCTGGGGGAAAATGACCATATTTCCCTCTCTTGATCATTATATGACACACAATCTCACCTCAGCACATTTAATGAACAACATGTTCTCTTCTCAATTTTGTCATTTCATCTGGATATCAACATTTGTGTGATTTAGTGATTTGAAAGGCGCCTTAAATAAAATGCATTATTATTATTTGTATTATTAGTCTGTAAAAAAAAAAAAAAAACAGGGCTCAAGTACATTTTGAAAACGTTGTATTATGTTGAATAGCAATTCCTCTGTCTACTTGTTAATGAATTATGGACACATTAATGAAGATTTTAGAGTATTTTTTGTTTTCAAGTGAAAATATTACAATTAGGCCATTGAGGTAAAATGATATTTAATTAGATGTAGCCTAAGTTACATCTCAGACAATTTTGCTTTTCATTACAACCTATTGAGTGAAATCATTCAATCTGAATTCATTGTGTTGCTACTCTGAAAATACAGAACCGGTCAAAAACCGTTTTTTCTGGATTCTTTGATGAATAGAAAGGTAAAAAGAACAGCATTTATTTGAATGTGTATGAATGTGTTTACTGTCTCTTTTGATCAAGTTAATGCATCCTTGCTGAATAAAAGTATATCTTTTTTTTTCACATATTACTTACCCCAAACCTTTGAATGGTAGTGTATCATGGTTTCCACGAAAAAAATAATAATAATAATTCAAATAAAAAATCAGCAGCACAACTGTCAACATTGATAATAATAATGAATGTTTCTTGAGCAGTGAATCTTCATATTAGAATGATTTCTGAAGGATCATGTGACACTGAAGACTGGAGTAATGATGCTGAAAATTCAGCTCTGACATCACAGGAATAAATTACATTAAACATTAAAACATTAACAATTTAAACATTAAAACAGTTATTTTATATTGTAATAATATTTCACAATATTACTGTTTCTACTGTATTTTTGATCAAATAAATACAGCCTTGGTGAGCAGAAGAGACTTCTTTAAAAAAACATTTTGACTGGTACACACATACATGTGTGTGTGTGTCTATATATATTTGTATGTATGTATATATATATATATATATATTAGGGATGCACCGATATGAAATTTTTGGCCGATGCCGATAACTGATAATTCTTTATATTTGAAAGCAGATATATATTGTCTATTATATATTAACCAATATATTATCGATATAAAATCTAAATCCAATTTTTTATATAATTTTTGAGAACCTGATTACAAAAACAAGTCTCACCACTAGAAGCCATGTCCCAAACACACAATTCTAATATATTGTAATTATAATTTTATGTAGCCTATATGACAGACTTGCGCTGCACATGTTGCACTTAACTGTATTTTCCTTTTTTGAAGTGATTTCAATCATATTTCAAGCAATTCAACATTGAACAGTGCGCATCTGAGCATCACCTTTCTAAGCGGAAGGAAAGAATCCATTTATTATTGGCTTTAACATATCGCCCAAATTTTCTTATCGGGCCGATAACGATAACATTAAAAATGAACATATTTCGGCCGATACCGATATGGTGGCCGTATGTAATTTGTACGTAACATGTAATTTATACATTCTGCAAAAGTTTACCCAGGAGTGTTTCTTCCGTATTTTTTTTTCCATTTTGTGCTATGAGGACTAAAATAACAAATGTTTCCCTTACTCTTTATTTCCCTTAAAGGATTAGTTCACTTTAAAATGAAAATTAGCCCATGATTTACTCACCCTCAAGCCATCCTAGGTGTATATGACTTTCTTCTTTTAGACGAATACAATCGGAGTTATATTAAAAAATATTATGGCTCTTCCAAGTTTTATAATGGAAGTGGATTGCAACCAACAGATTGAAGCTCAAAAACGTGCATCCATCCATTTTAAACGAACTCCAAACGGCTCCTGTGGGTTAGTAATGGCCTTCTGAAGCAAAACGATGAGTTTTTTGTAAGAAAAATATTCATATTTAAAACTTTATAAAGTAAAATAACTAGCTTCAAGTTCCGGCCACACGAACATACGGATTCCACTTAGCCTAAGTCTAAGCGCAACTTATGCAAGGCCTGCGCTTGGCCTGAAGCTAGAATTTTACTTTGTAACGTGTTAAATATGAATATTTAACACAAGTTCGTTTACGACGGATGGATGGACGTTTTTGTTTTATAACTCGGATTGTATTCGTCTGAAAGAAGAAAGTCATATACACCTAGATGGCTTGAGGGTGAGTAAATCATGGGCTAATATTAATTTGAAAGTGAACTACTCCTTTAAAAACACATTGACTGATGTGTAATGACCCTCTACATGCTAAACTTATATCCAAATATGTCACAATCTAAAAGTAAACGCACATTGCTCTTGCATATTCCCCCATCTTACCCTACACAGGTGTTCAATGCAGGTGTTTGAATGTCCAATACTGAAGTTCTCATGTGTTCATTTCTTGTCTTTGCACCTAAAGGCTTTTTACGATGTCTTCATCGCTGACTGGTGTTTAGACACACTCTCCGGCCCAGTCTACACTCACGATGCTGCAAGCAGAAACGCTCCAACTGCTGTGCCTCACAGCCTCCAGCGGGGTCCCTCTCTTCTCACGCGGCTCCACCAAGCAGCTTCCCTTTTCCATCGTCGGCTCCCTAAACGGCGTCCATATGTTCGGCGCGGGCCACGGGGCTCAGCTATCGAGCTGCGAGACGGATCGGGGCAGCCGTGTGGTCTGGGAGGTCTTCCAGGAGAGCCTGATGCTGATCGCGGTGAGTGGCGGCGGGGGCTCCGGCATCAGCGAGCTGCAGTTGCGCCGCCTGCTGGAGAACGTGTGGAACTGCATGGTCTTGGTCCTGGGACAGGACGAGCTGGCGAACATACGCAACGTGGAGCGGTTAAAGCGAGAGCTGCGCTCTTGCTACCGCCTGTTCGACTTGCTCTTGGAGCGTGTCAATGACGAGCAGGGCTTTATGGGAGATCTGACGCGATGCGCCGACTGCTTGCTTCCCTCCACCTCCGCCTTGCTTCAGGACGCCCTGGACTCCTTCGCCCAAGCGGCGGAGAGCGAGTTCGGCTGCCTGCTAGTGCGCGGGCGCGTGGCACAGGCCACGGAGAAGTGGTGGTCTCGACTGACTTCCCAGGAAGTTGTTGTGCTCTCAATCCTGATGCACTCACTTTCTAATGCATCGTCATGTGACTACCCGGTCTTCCTGCCCCAAGGGAGTCCCACAGTCGCCATCCGCTTGCTCGGTTTCCAACTCCTCCCCGGGGTTCACGTGTGCGTCCTCTGTGGACCCAAACCCTCTTTGTACAAGGCGGAGAATGAGCTCGTTAGTCGTTTTTGGTCCACTTTGGTGGAGAATCTACGCAGCTGTTTGGAGCAGGCCGACCGTTCCACTCTTCCTCCGTCTGTGAGCCTTCGCTGGGACGTCCAGGCTCTTCTGCTCATCAACCGCGAATCTCGACGCGCGGTCACCGTCTGCCCTCGGGTCCGCGGCGGAGCTCCAGCGGAGGCTACGCCTCTCCTTTCATCCGGAAGGCGCTTGGAGCTCCTTCGCCTTTTTTACACTTTTGCCGTGACTCGATATTTCACCTCGCAGGAGACATCAGTCTCGTCAGCCTCGGAGGATTTTTCTCAGGGATTCACCCACGTCCCCGTGCAGTGCTACCTTGTGACTGAGGAGTGTAAGTGTTACGGCCTGCAGAGTCCCCAACACCAGCTCTTCCTCCTCATGGATCTCTCTGTGCCGACGTTCGCCTTGCGTACTGTCGCTACACAGACTCTCTCAGCGATTACTTCTGCGACTGCTTTTTAACACATCACTTTGCTCCTGTATGGGTTACTTAACCGGGTACCAGCGGATCTGGCATTAAAGGGAAAACTCTTCAAAAAAGGAAAATTCTGTCATTTTTTTTCACCTACGTCGTTGCAGAACCTGTTTGACTTTGTTTCTTCTGTGAAATGCTAAAGAAGATTTTAGTTTTTTAGTTTTTTTATCCAAAACAACATTGAATCCCGTTGACTTTCATTGTACCCCACCAAGACATTTAGCCAAATATCTTATTTTGTGTTTCACAGAAGTAAGAAAGACATACAGGTTTGGGACAAAATGAGAGTGAGTTAATTATGACAGAATTTTCATTTTTGTATGAACTATCCCTTTAACTTCATGGTTAAGCTTGTGCCTGGTTGCATATTAATCAAAAGGAGATTTTTTTTTTTTTTGGTAACACTTTACAACAGGGGTCAATTTGTTAGCATTAGATATCATAAATTAACCATTTTTTATTAATATTGGTTAATCTAATGATCATTATAATACTATAATGTTAATTTCTGCATCTACTAATACTTTGAACAATAATTAACAGTGAACAATAGCAGATTTGTAAATTAATATTAACCTAGATTAATACGTACTGTAAAAGTGTTCATTGTTAATTAAGGTTTGTTCACAATAAAATAACTTAAAATAACTTTTTTAAGATGTTCAGTGAACATTAACCTAGATTAATACAGTGTATAATGTAGTTTGCATAATGCATTAATGAATTGAACCTTATTTTGCGTGTTGCCAATAGCATTTTGTACAAGTATTTGGAGCTAGAATAACGGGATTTTAAACAAACAAGATTCTGAATCAAAATATGGAGCACTTATTAACTACTGTATGACTGTTTATGTGTAGCATTCACACTGTGAGACCAAATTCTACCTTTGATTTGTCATTGTTACTGAACATGGATGCATGTTTGAAAGCTGTGTATGTTAATATTCACTTAATGACACTGGCGAATAAATTAGTTTATTAGTGGTGTTAATGTTAATTAGTGGTGTGAATAAATACATATTGTTTGAAATGCATCTTTAGATTTTTGCTTTTTGGAAATAAAATCATTCTGTGTTCTATAGCATGAATCAGATTTATGAATTCTTTTTTTAAGTCAGTGGAATTCAATGTAACCACTCCCTCTGCCGGCCAGTCTTATTACGTTCCAAAAAACAGGAACGTTCTTCTTTTTTCTTTTTTTTTTAAGAAGTGTAAGGATCACCTGTCAGCCCAACGGCAGAATCCAGAGTGTTCCACGTACTAGACAAACAAATTCAGCAGCCTCACATGTAACTTGAAACTGCTGAACAATTCCAGTGTTACAGTTATTCAAATTTTACACAAGTCACACGGTCTAGAATGCACAACAACCTTTAACCTTAGTGCTATTGCACACAACACTTACAGTAAAGCAGTCGTGTGTTTTAAAAATAAATTAAACTAGTGTACATGTAGTAGCACAAACAGCTATAATGCGTGTTCTATGAGATTTTGCTTAGTCCCCAAGGAACCCAAACTCCATTAGATGAGAGAATGGAGAAAAAAAAACCTTGGGAGAAATGTGCCCCAAAGGCTTGCACCTGGTTTTGGGGGAGAGGAGACATGATTATCAGATATCTTGAAGGGACCCCACCACCCACAACAGTAGAACACAATTCTCCTTTCAATCTTTCTCATAATATAAGTGACTGCGGTGAAATTGAGACCATTTTACCAATCGCACTGAGACATTTAAAATGATACCAAACATGAAAGGTAAAAAAAACTATAGATTCACAATCTTGTGATTCACAAGATACATCATATGTGTTATATCAACATTCTTAGTGACCTTTCAGTGACTTGAGTCAGGGGGAAAGAAGAGGGGGATGCGAAGAGAAGCGAGGAGAGAAGTTTGTGCAGAGTGGTGTCCTACACTCTTTCTTTGAGATCTTTTCTCCAGATTGTTTTATTGCAGGGTGTTTTATCCCGTGTTCCGTCTTGGCAGGAAAACCAGTCTTACGCAAGAGTAGACAAAGACGTACTTAAACACGCTGTATAAGCAGGTTAAATAAAGACAGCATTTTGGCTGTGAGCCAGTGTCATTGCACGAACATTTTAGGCAATTAATAGTATAGCCTACTTATATCTTGTTTTTAATATAAGTAGCATTGTACAACCTGCACCAAAGTTAAAGGGTTAGTTCACCCAAAAATGAAAATGATGTCATTAATGACTCACCCTCATGTCGTCCCAAGCCCGTAAGACCTCCGTTCATCGTCAGAACACAGTTTAAGATATTTTAGATTTAGTCCGAGAGCTTTCTGTCCCTCCATTGAAAATGTATGTACGGTATACTGTCCTTGTCCAGAAAGGAAATAAAGACATCATCAAAGTAGTCCATGTGACATCAGTGGGTTAGTTAGAATGTTTTGAAGCATCGAAAATACATTTTGGTCCAAAAATAACAAAAACTACGACTTTATTCAGCATTGTATTGTGTTCCGGTTGAAGACGATGAACGGAGGTCTTACGGGCTTGGAACGACATGAGTGTGAGTCATTAATGACATCATTTTCATTTTTGGGTGAACTAACCCTTTAACCAGCATTACACCCAACAATCGAGACACTAAAAAAAAGAGATAATGACAAAGTAAAGTTGAATATGCGTGAAGTGTAAAAGGAAGCATATCTGTTTTCATTGGATGTACTAGTTAAGAAATCCATGGGTTTCTGCAACTAAGCTTTTCTCATAAAATTCTTATTTTAGTCCAGTCCTTGCTCTTTTGTTCACATATAATTAACCATTAACAAATTAAACTTTTGTCTGCAGTTGGCGGAGAACTATTCCTGAGTCACTCCCGCAGTCAAAGGTCAATCTTCACTAAGCTGAAATATCGTTGCAGTACAGTCAATAAGCTCTATAAATGGTTAAAAAAAAATGAAGCCATGTTTTATATAACTATTCAGCCGCACCCAGTCTCATTATCTTTGCTTAAAAGAAATGATCCGGGTTCAAAACCAGATGAGATCTGTGACATGCCTCAGTTTGCAAAGACAATGTGTTGATAGAAATGTGCTTACAATGGAAGTCTATGGGGCCCCTTAGACTGTACTGACAACTGCCTAGCCCTCGTCTCACTAAAACAAGTTTGAGGATTAGATCAGACATTATATAACAAGTAAGTCACCTTTTATTTATATAGCGCTTTTTACAATACAGACTGTATCAAAGCACCTTCACAGCGATAACATGAAAATAATGCAGTTCTCCTCTGGCCAATGAACAAACAGTGTGTGATAATGATTCAGGCAGCATTACAGGTCAGAAGTCAGATTGGATCAGAACATTCACAATATTTATTCAGTTCATCTAGTTGGAGGTCGGAGTCATCACGCCGGTATGGAGACGAGTTTGTTGAGGATCAGTGCCGAAGTCCATGAGGCCTTCAGAACAGAATAAAAGCAGCAGGCATTGCCTTGTGTCCTTAATAGGTTCAACTTCGTATTCATTTTTATTAGCCACCTGAGTGCCTGTTGATGGTTGTATAATAAAGGGAATTATAGATTATACTGCATTTAAAAAAAAAAGTTCACCCAAAAATCTTATCTCTAAGCTAGTGCATTAGATAAGATAATGTCTCTACAAGTACATGCATGCAATTAAGACACACTTTTATTGAAGGGCTGTGCTATATTTACCTATTAACCCTGTTTGAAATGAGTCAAGCCACCTTGATTAATACTATTACAACACACTGTTGTGACTTAACCCAAATTGGCATCAAACAGGAATAAAAAATAGCTGATACATTTATCACCGAGTCCACACGAATTGATCTTTGGCAATTGTGAATAAATAATGGACCTCAAATGCACAATTTCTAGATGAGCAGTTCGCACTGGAGTAATGAGGAAATGACAAATATCAGGACTGATTTGTTCTGTGCTTTATGCTGAATATGGTTGGTCACATGCTTCTGCCCTTAAGATGCAAACTTAATGACATTATTTGCTTGTCACCGGCATGCTTTTATGACTGCAATATGACTTGTGTGTGTTCTTTTGACTAATCATTGAACTCTGGAAATGACAAGATGACATGTCTGAATGTAGCTGGGTTACATTGTTTAGCCAATCTCTGTCTGTCTGTCTGTCTGTCTGTCTGTCTGTCTGTCTGTCTGTCTGTCTGTCTGTCTGTCTGTCTGTCTGTCTGTCTGTCTGTCTATCTATCTATCTATCTATCTATCTATCTATCTATCTATCTATCTATCTATCTATCTATCTATCTATCTATCTATCTGTCTGTCTGTCTGTCTGTCTGTGTCTATCTATCTATCTATCTATCTATCTATCTATCTATCTATCTATCTATCTATCTATCTGTCTGTCTGTCTGTCTGTCTGTCTGTGTCTATCTATCTATCTATCTATCTATCTATTACTGTAAAAAACTTGCTGCCTTAAATTTACAATCAACTTGGCTGTGTAAGTCATTTCAACTTAAATTACATGAAACTGACTTTAAAAATGAGATGAATATCTTAAAAAAATAACTTTTAAAATGGCTTAAAATGATCTATCACACAAATATCTTAAAGTCCCCCTATAGTCAATAATAATTATTGTATCCCTTAAAACTCATCTTTGAATTACATTTTAAATGTGTTTTCCTTGAAAAAAAAATCGTTATGCCTTAAAATAGCTTGAATGTAACCTACACCCTTGCCTTATTTATCATACGGGGTTCAATGAATATGCAAATTAGCCCCCCCCCATAGTGATTTCTTTAGTCTTTAGTTCACAGCAGTTTTAAAGAGAAAATACTCAGCAATGGAGTTGACTTAAGAATTTGCACATGGTTTGTCTTAAATCATATTAAAACACCACATAGACATATAAACAACATTAAAAACTGGATTTTCACCACAGGGGGACTTTAAGATAATAAGAAAGATGTGAACTGCATGCACTGTCTGCATGCAAGGAGATCAGAAGTCATGGCAAATTATGTTTTTACGTTAACCCATTAAAATAATTGAAACAATTTCAACTTCATATTTTTTATTTGAGGTTCTACTAGACAATATTTAAAAAGATTAGTTTAAATGACTCACAGC